TGACGGCCGCTGTCTCCATTGAGCAGGCCGGTCCGCTCGTTGGAGTGGCCGTTGGTGAAGCCAGCTTCGGCGTCGTTGGGCATTGCGCCTGAGGAGCTGCGGTAGGTCGAGAAGGACGACCCGACCCGATGGAACTGCGCTTTTATAGTGGTTGGAGCTAGCTCTGGGGTTAGCCTCAATCGAGCCTCAATGTATAGAGCACAGCAGACTAGGCGAGGAAGAGATGGCGAAGATCAAGACGACGATGAAGAAGAATCAAGAGATGAAATAAGAAGAGGAGGAGGAGGAAGCGGAAGAGTGGAGGGAAAAAAAAGAGGGACGGAGCAAAGGGCGAAACGTACCCATCCCGTCCCAAGGCAAAAAAGCAGAGCAAAAAAGACGTCAGACGGAGCCTTAGTTCGATAGGAGACGCCGATGAATAATCGAGACAAGCAACGAGCCAGCGAGTTGGAATTGCGGTTGAACCAAGGATCAGAGGACCAGCGGGTCGCCGGTATCAACCCTGGAGCGGAGAGATGCTGGCGACGGTGCTGGCGACGGTGCTGGCTGGTGGTGATGGAGGTGGTCAAGACGTCACTAACTGACTGGCTGATCCCCAGTAGTTCCTCTTGGGCGGCTTGACTGTGATCTCGATCGTGGCAGTGCAACTTGGCAGGCTAGAGGACGTGGGTACCCCGTACAGCGCAGGAGGAGCTATTCACACGGACGAGGAAGGTCGGGAGTCTCTTTAAGTAGGAGAAGCAGCCAACAGAGGCAGCTTGGGACAGTGAACTGAGACTGCAGTCAGTTAATATCGACCAGCTGTGGCGCTGCTGGCGACCCGCAGCGGCAGAGAAGAGACAGCGACAGGAGGAGACAGCGCAAGAAGAGGAAGGCCAACGAACGCCGCAGAGAGACCTGTCGCATGCTTGGCCGAACGGGACAGACCTGGGCAGGCGGCTTTGGGATAGCTTCGGTTGACCCCCAGGAGTCCCAGGACATGGACAAGGACCCGGGACATGGCTCGCCACAGGTTTGGCTACTCCGGAGTACTGCTACAGAGGGTATGGAGTGTCAATACTGTCTGGCCCTTTGCTTTTTCTCTGCTCTGGATCTGATACGAGCTTTGTTCATCCTGGCTGGCTGCGAAGCGATCGTAGCAGAGCAGCAGCGTGGCTGGTAAGAAGCAAGCAGGGGCCCAGCAGTGATGCATCGTACGAGTGGCGACACGTTCGGTTTCTTCAGCCACAGGATGCGCATGGACAGGCTTCGTTAGTCGAGCATAAGCTGGTGCGCTAGCTGGTTTACATGCATGGCGACGGGGTAGACGGGAAGTGTGGAAGTCAACTCTGTCTGGTAACGATGATATCATAACTATGGAGCTACTTAGCTATAAGTTAAGCACCAGGGGTCGTTGTCAAGCTCTGGTTAGGAAAGCTAGCTAACTTATATCACACCAGACATTCGCCCACAGAACTCCCAGTCTCCGGTTGGGAGCGTTGTCTGGGTGCTCATGGTTAATTCCCCCAAAACGTTTTTATCATCTCGTCTAGATACTCGGTCGCTTCCTCCTCACTCTCGCTGTCCTCGGCCATCTCAGCTTGGGGGTCAATGTCGGCCAGCACGTTCACGGTCTCCTCCTCCGTGTCATCTGTGGGCCTGAAGTGCGCCATAATCTTCGTTCTGAAGATCGGCGAGACACCAGACTCATCAAACTGCTCGATGAAGCCTCCTAACACCGTGTCCCTGATATAGGGGCCACTGTGCACTCTCCCCTCGTCCGTCCAGGCGTCCTCTAGGCCCACTTCATTGAGCATGGTACCATATTCCTCGTCTCGGCGTGCCTGAAGCAGCATCGCACATAGGTAGTGGAAGAACAGAAATTTGCCGTTGGGGCGCACCGCGTCTTGAAAGGGTATGCTTCTATTATGGAGGTCACCATAGCACATTCCGCAGTCCGTGAGCTCGTTCCAGAGGCCCTTCCGGTCAACTATCACGAGTTTCCATGTCCATGGGTCACTGTTGTCGTTCCACCTATGGTTGGTGGGTGCTAACGTGACTCGATACTGACTGAACTGCTCAGCCAGATTTGGTGGCAGCAAGAGGCCATTACCAACAGTGTATAGTTTTCCCCTTGCTTCTGGTCCAAAAATATAGGTCATCCACTGCTGACCCAGCGAGTGCGGGAAGATTTCCACCGCTCTGAGGTCGGTTGGCGAGACCTGTCTATCCCTTATTGTACACCAGCACCAGCGCGCCGACTGCCCCATGAACGTGGCTTTACCGTAGGCCACCCTGACATCCCTCACAAACGACCAGCGTGGACATTTTGGTTCATCCTTGGTGTTTATTACCCGCTCGATGAAAATTCGTTGTTGGTAAGGGCAGATATTCGGTTTTAGGGACGGTGACATCCCCCTTTCTCTCCCGGGATACATTAGTTGTCTCTTATCGGTGATCTGGAACTGCGCATTTAGGCGCTCCCTGTGATAAAGGAATGCGCTGTCGCTCCGTATATAGCCAAGCTGATCCTCCTCGTTGCAGTCACGGAGGGTTAGTAATCTTTCACTTAGGTTCCATGCCAGTTCAGACAGAGCCGCTGATTTTTCGAGTACATCCCTCAGCAACTCCCAGTACTTGTCAGAGCCATACTCTGCCTGTCTGCGTGCTGCTCGTGCTTCTTCTAAAGACGCTCTTCTGCTCAACACGAGATCTTTCTCCTCCAAGAATTCCTGTGTAGATTCTGCGTCCATGTCTTATATATAGAAGGACGCCAATGTATATGAAGATTGTCGATGTTGATATAGATGTAGATGTTGATGCAGATAGATCATTTCCTAATTAGGCAATAATGTGGATGCATGGAAGTGGAGTCCGAGAAGAAAGGAGGATGGTTGGTCGAGACGCATTTTATATCGCGAACTTAAAAAATGTTTATTGGTCTAATATTATGTAAGCTAATGCGTCATCCAGTCATTGCCGTCATAATTTCAGACACTGACCAATGAAAATGGAATATCTGGATAGTAAGCAACCTTAATTTCCCCACAAACTAATAGAATCGCCGCGACCTCGAGACGCCAAAGTCGTTTGACGTCGTTGACCCTGATAGAAGAATCATGTTTGCAAAGTATCTCGCTTGAAAAATACACACACCAGGCAAGGGGAGAAGTTAGTCGATGTGGTCTCTTTCTGCAAGCCATTTCTTCCATTTTGGAGCAGCTCGACGACGCCATGACTTTCCATACAAGACCGCGGGGATCGCGGCGGCCATGGACGCCAGCACGCAGAACCCATAAAACACAAACGCATATCCAAACCCTATCATATCGACAACCTGCTGCACCGTGAAGGAGAGTGGGAAGTTGATCACAGATGAACATATCGAGAGAACCACCACCAACTCCCCAGATATTCCCGGAAAACACTCCATGGCATATGCAGTGGCTACAGAGCAGGCAGATACCTGGTGCGCAATCATGCAGCCCAGGCCTATCGCAATAGTGATCCAATGCATGCCAAAATGCGCTCCCCATCCATAAAGCATGTAGCCTACCGCCGCGTAGACGAAGGTAACGCATAACGTCCACAGACGCATTTCCGCCTCCTTGATACCGTTGTTGCGGCGTGCAAGGCGCATGACGATAAAGTCACTGGACATACCTGTAGCCCACCCAACAATGTTCCCTGCCAGAGCGGCCAGGTAGATAAGCCCCGTGGATGTGGTGGACCAGTTATACGGTGGTTTGGAGGTGATGCGGGAAATGGTGCCGAACGAGACGATACCTGCCGTGCAGCCAAAGGCAAATATGACGCCTGCAATGATGATGTTGGGGAAGAGGAAGAGCACGAACGGGCGTCTGAAGTATTGCCAGTATGTCGTCTTGTCTTGTGGGAAATGGATCCATAGCTTCAGGCGGCGAAGGTAAGTTCGTTTGGGAAAATGGTAGGATACCTTTGAGGTGCTATCGACCTCGTGCAGTGATGCTGTCATGTCAATATCCTTCTTGTGGGAGGTGTTTGGGTCATTTTGGTCCTGTTCGAACAAAAAACGTGGGAAGAGCGTCTCTTCAAAGGTGGTGAATAGCAGGATCAGGACGACAGCGAAGATCATGGAACAGATCCATTGGGTCCATCTCCACCCTGGTCCGTCTGAGATGATACCTCCGGTGATGGGCCCTGTTTACCTTTGTCAGTCAGTCGTCGAGCTGATTGTCCACGGAGGGGTGAAAGAAGCAATACCCAGAATAGAGCCGAGCTGCTGGCCAAAGAGATAAAAGGATAAAGTCCGTCCTCTTTGATGGGCAAAGAACATGTCGAAAACACTCAGTTGGATGACTGCCTGGTAGGCAGCAACTCCAAACCCGTTGATGGCCAGGTTGGTCATCCACTGAGCCGTTCCGTGAACATAGCCCAGCCAGACAGCAGTCAACATGCAGATGGTTGTCGTGATTAGAAAGACTGGGCGACGGCCGAGTTTCATCCCAATAGGCACCCAGAAGATATTTACCAGCCCAAGAAGCAGGTAGTTTAGTGCTGAACCGCCGTTCATATTATCAAGGGATATCTCAGCTTCTCGCGAGACGGTTGTCCATGCCGCTCCGAGCATGTTCTCTCCATACGAGAATGTGCATGCATATAGACCTATTAACATAATGTTTATAAGAAGTTCGATGTATGAGGGGTGTTGAGCAATGCAACCTACAGAGCAGAAACAGTTGCCATGACTTCTTTGACATCGACCACATTAACGGATCACTGCCTTCGGTCGTTGGCTTGGGGATCAAGATGATCTCAGCCAGGGCATGGCCATTCAGTTGTTCGCCCTCGCCTATGTCATTTACATTAGGTTAATGTGACTAGTAATCATACATGCATAGAGGACTCGCCATTAAAAAGCCGTTCGGTCCCAGGAACGTCTAGATCGTTATCATAGGCCATCATCGATGTTTTATATCAACATAATCTTCGAGTAGGTAACTAACAACTTCCTATCACCAGCGGAGTTCTCCTAAACTGCTACCGCAGAATATTTATCAGACACTTCATCTTCCCCGGATAATGAAACCACCTAATTTACCCCACGCATTTCCCCGCAATCGCAGGGATTTCTACCCAGCTGTCGTGTAAGCTCTAATGTGGATTTACATATAGCCCAGTCTCGATGCCTGAACGACTAACGTCATCAAACTCGTTGGATACTCGATTATGCCAGCAGTGAACTAGATATATCATAAATATCTACGAGACACACCTGTACTGCACTTTAGAGGTATATAATTGATTAAATATTTCAAACTGCAATGCTTCAACTAGCAAAAGACTCCCACATCGTCATTATCGGTGCTGGAACCTGGGGTATCAGTACCGCTCTTCATCTTGCCCGCAGAGGCTACACGAATATCAAAGTCTTAGATAAATACCCAGTTCCATCTCCTATATCTGCTGGAAATGATGTGAACAAATTCCTGGAACTTGACTCCTCCCCTGTTGGAGACTATGTCTCGAAGACCATCGCACAAGCAACGGTGAGCGGATGGAAGAATGATCCGGTCTTCCAGCCGTATTACCATGACACCGGAGCCATTATCGCAGCCACTTCGGAGGCTACAAGAGAAGACATTTCCTCCGGTGGAATGACATCTGCTAATGGCTGGATACCACGCTCTACGGGACAGGAGTTCCGCGAAACGATGCCCCAGGGTGTATTGACGGGGGACTTTCCTGGTTGGAAGGGTTGGTGGAAGAAGGACGGGGCCGGGTGGGTGGCTGCGCGCAAGAGCATGGAGAGTGCCGCTAGAGAGGCTGCTCGACTGGGAGTTACGTTCCTTTCCGGACCTGCCGGTGATGCAAGAGAGCTTGTGTATGTAGATGGTAAAGCCGTCAGGGGAGTGCGTACGGCAGATGGTCATGTCCATCTCGGAGCAAAGACAATTCTGTGTGCCGGAGCCGCCGCCGAGAATCTCCTCAATATGAAGGATCAATTGAGGCCTACCGCTTGGACCCTGGCACATATCAAAATGACGCCTGAGGAGGCCAAATTCTACAAAGATTTACCCGTTCTTTTCAATGTTGAACGAGGATTCTTCATGGAGCCGGATGAAGATAAACATGAGCTGAAGATATGTGATGAGCATCCTGGATACTGTAACTGGGTCACGGAAGGAGGAAAACTCAAGAGTAGGCCGTTTGCAAGGCAGCAAATTCCACTCGAGTCTGAGCAACGAGTGCGTCAGTTCTTAGGGGAAACGATGCCACATTTAGCCAGCAGACCGCTGAGTTTTGCACGGATATGTTGGTGTATGTTTTCTTACTTTATTGTTGTTATACCCTGCCTTACTACGGTTAAGGTACTAACCTCTCACCTAGGTGCCGATACTTCTGATCGTAAATTCCTCATCAGCACTCATCCTGAGCATCGAGATTTAGTGCTGGGCGTAGGTGGTTCTGGCCATGGATTTGTACATATCACGTCTATTGGCTCCTTCATTGCAGACGCCATGGAGTCAAAGTTAGACCCCAGACTAGCGAAGGCTTTCCGATGGAGACCCGAGACTGCAGTGGGACGGGACTGGGGCGCATTGCAGGGCCGGTATGGGCCAAAGGGGAGCAATCGTGTGATGAACTTCCAGGATATTAGTGAGGATGAATGGACAACCATTGGATTGGACCAGTTGAAGTTATAATTAAGTGTCATCGGTGATTATGATAGACTTTCTTTGTTTTGAGACCGATTCTAAGATACCAGGAAGTTCCGTGGCTTTCATAGGTAGTCTATAAACGCAATTTCATTCATACCAACGCCGTTTCGGTTCGTTATGATGGGGAATATAAGAACCTGCTCAAGGAAGAAAGTGGGCTAGCCAGGTATATAAGTATGGTAGGATAGCAACTGGGAAAAAAAGAAACAGAAGAACACCCTTAGTAGAAAAAAAGAGCAGAAAGAACAGAAGAGCGGGATAATCAAGCAGAAGTCGAACCCTAGAGTCCAAAGAATATTACAACAAGAATAATATTATTTGTTAAATCGAATGAAGGACAATACGAAGAGAGCCCTGATGCATTCGTTTAATCGACTTTTCCGTTACTTGGGCCAGACCCAACGGAGCTAAAGAGCCCTTTCTCCTTGCCGTCTAGGTGGAAGAAACCCATGGAAGAGCCTCCAAGTTTTCCGGTCACAGTTCTTGTTCGGCGGATTTGACGCTTAGCCCACAGAGAAGCAATGGCAATGGCGACAATGCACAATGCTAGAGTGATGAAAGGATGGGAGCTGACAAAGGTACGAGTGGTGAAAAAGATGTGCTCAAAGAAGCCAACAGTGGACTTGGACTTGAGCTTCGGAGAAGAAGCGGCAATATGAGTGAGTGTTTCGAGGATTGAAGTACGGCTGGGCATGATGTCAACGCCGTTTGGAGACGAGTCCCAGTAGCGACGGTTCTATTAGGTTTGAAGTTAGTACCAAGCCATGCAATCTTGGCTGTTGAGCACTTACCGATTCGTCGTGGATAATAACCCTGTCTCCGTTCTTCACATCGACGCCAAATGTAGTTTTGACCCATCGGTCCCAGAAAATTCCATCAACCCAAGCGAACCCGACTTGTTTCTTATCATCCTCACGGATAGTGATGCGCATGCTCTTAGCGGCTCGGAGGGCGCGCTGGTCATTACGATCATCGGCTTCCTCAATCCGCAGGTCTTTAGCATCTCGTAGTTCCTGGCGCTCTAGCTGGAATAACTTGGTCTGTTTTTCCATCCATTCCAATGCTGCATTCTTGAGCTCACGTTTGTTTTGGACGAAGTCTTCGTTATGCTGTCTGTTGAGGATTCCGAGAACAACATATTTACCATCCATGACATCGCGAGCATTGGTAGCTGTCAATTCGGGCACGATAGGGAGCCAAACACTCTGCATCCAAGATAGAACAGCGCGGAAATCTCTCATATCTCTGGGAGCCAAAGCGGTATAATATTTGGCAGTTCCATCCCTGGCCACGAGGAGACGGGGCCATGTAGAGATTCTGAATCGCTCGGCAAGCTCCTTGCTATCGGTCTTCACCAGTCGGGCATGTCCTACCAAGCTAAGGGTGAGTCTATCAAGAGCAGCGAAGTCTTCAGAAGTTGTGGCATGGTCGAAGAAATAGAGGAAAATGACCTCCTCAGTCTCCTCCATCTTCTTGAAGGCTTCTGCGTCGACATATTGGACACCGAGGCCCACGACATCGGTTGCCTTGTTGGCGTAATTAACAAGGTCACCCAGCCCACGTAGGCCTTCATATTGGACTTTCTCACCTCCACGGAAGAAATGCATTGTGGGATATGAGGAGATTCGTGCTTCTTTGCATAGACGTCGTTCCGCCTCACAATTGACCTCGCCAACATTGAGCTTCCCCTTCATGTCCTTAGCCATTTGCTGCCACACAGGAGCAAGTGCCTGGCAGTGGCTGCACCAAGGAGCATAGAACTTGATAAACCATGGATCTTGGGTGGTAGTGACAAGTTTCAGGAAGGATTCTGCAGTCAAAGAAACAGACGATCCCGAGAGATTATACTTCTTCTCCTTGGCCTCCTTCTTGGGGGTAGGGACCTGAGCAGGAATCTTGTCACCCTTTGGACTCTTGGAGTCCTTAGGATCTTGGGGGGTCTTTGTGTCTTTTGAGCCCTTCCGATCACCTGATCCCTTTGAAGAGTCCTTGCTATCGCCCTTAATTGGCTTCTCGGGTTCAGAGTTCCCCTCTGCCTTGTCTTTATCCGGTAGGATCATTTGTCCCTCCTTATCGCCCGGCTTGGGGAGGTTTACCCCTCCCTGAGGTCTGGAACCTGGTTTGATCATCTCCAATTTCTCTTCGATGAAACTGCTAAGTTCCTGCATCCCTTTATTTTCCTTCGAAAATGTGTCGAACGGTTTTCCTTTATGGTAAAGAACAAATCTCGGGTAACCGACGATGCTAAGCTCCTTGCATTTATCGGCGTATGCGGCGCAGTTCAATGATGCGAAGTGAAATCCATAGTAGCCATGGAATGAGTTCAATGACTTTTCGTTATCGGCTGCTTTCTTCGCGGTAGCTGATAATAATGGGTTGGAGGTCTGGGGCCAGTGATTAGTTCCATGCAAGAGGGAGATAAGGCAAGAATGAACACCAACATAATAAAATTCATATAGTGTTTGCCAGATTGGCGCAACAGCTTTGCAGTGTCCGCAATCAGGGTGATAATGCTTTACAAACCTATTAACGAGGGCAGAAATTAATTAGCTGGCACAGTCTGGTGAGAGTGTAAGTTTGCTTCGGAGCGAAACGCACCAGTAATCCTCCTTTATGCTTTCCTCGAAATCTGGCCCTCGAAGTTCCTTCATAGGGGGCACGGTGACTCCATTGAAAACAGTTGACTTAGGATCGGGGCCTAGGGGTTTCTCGGCCTCATCTCTGCTTCTTGCCGTCTGCTCACTTGGTAGACCGAACACGGGGGATATTGATGCCGCAAGAACGGACAGGAAGAATAGTGAGCGTCTCATTGTGATCTGTTAAGAGGGTCGCGCGAGCCAATACCGGCGATATCTTCCAAATTTCACTTGTAAGGCACAAGGCCTGGCTAGGAGATCTCGAGCCTCCAAGACACGACTCGTTTCTTTTGCGGTAGAAGAGGGTGGACGGTGAGTTGAAAATCTGCCCCCGGGGCACTTGATATTTGCAAGCTGGAAAGGATCCTCGTTGTGTTTCGTGCCCACCGAGCTGCCTTGTTCTCATGGAGACCCACGGCGTTTTGTGGGCGAAGAATCTGCGCTGTCGACTGTCGTCCGCGTCAACGTCAGCTTGTCTCTTGTTCTTCTTTTCTTCCCCTGATGATTTTGAGGAAGATGACATAAGCGATTTCCGGCAGGCTAGTTCTTCCGTTTCCGACATGCCGGAGTTGGCAAGTCCACGCGGGCGAAACGACTTGCGTAGAAAGGTCAGCGACGACGGCGAAAGGACGTTTCTATCTACTATTGCATAGCTCGAGACGCAGCCGTTGAATCACGGCGCTTGCAGGAATCGCTCTTTAGCACACCATGAGGGCAACTTTACGACTTTTGGCTAATGTCAAGCCAGCAAGATACCTAGAGCCCTTCACGCCGACCGGTCTTACTGGCCTTTCAACCCACCCCAGTCCTCGACCAACGCTCATCTACCTCTATACCACAACTCTCCAGAAACTTAAGGCAATTCCGGAATCATCTGTATATCGCAAATCGACAGAGGCCCTTATCAAGCACCGATTGGATGTTGTACAGTCTACGAAGCCACCGGGGTTCGACGCCTGGCTGCAACGAGTAAGAGCTCTTGTTGCTGAGAACCCAGATAAATACAAGGCTGCTCTACGGGAGGATGGTACATACGCTGCATTCCAGCTTGAAGAGGAGAATATTGCCAAGGAAGACGAGCTTTGGGGCGGAGATACCTCTAAAGTGCAGCAGGAGGGAGCATACCTTAGCGAAGAGGAGATGGAGGAGCGTATGAAGGAATCAGAAGCACAAGCTGCCCATCAGGGGACTCCCACTATCCATTGGGAGGCAGAGCCAGCTCTGGAGGCTGCACAGTACGTTTGGTCTCACTTACCTAGGTTTTGCACTGGTGCTAAACGAAATTCACATTAGGATTTCCGAGATTGAAAACAAGATTGGCGGTGGATTGATAGAGGAAGTGATCCAGGTTGCCGAGGGAGAACTCAGACTTGTTGATGAGATGGTCAAGAGCAAAGTGTAAGTTCTCAAACTGCCACATACGTCCACTTACATTCGCTGACCTTTACCGTAGCTGGGAGGAACTCGTGGAAAAGCCCAAGCCTGGCCAGTGGACTTACTTTGAAAGAACTGAATCGAGCTCATGATCGATTTATAGATGTTGCGATTCCACGCTACCACAATTGAGGAGGCTCATGTTGCCTTTGATGACTTGGACTCTGAGATTTTTTTGTGCGCCGTGATATTTTCCTTGCTTGTATACTATACCACTGTGATACTGTGACGCTTGTTTGCACACATATCAAAACAATACAATAGACTCCTTCCCATCTAGTCTCCAACGGTATCTTTATGCTCTATATATATATTTATTGTCCAGCGATATGAAATATGTCGCTGGAAGTATTTGCAGCTGCTCTGTTTTTCTTGAAACATAACGTATATGTGACTCCGTATATAACCGGAAAATCCAGGGGAATAAACATAGGATGCCCCTTAAGTAAAATAATCTTCGTATATCAACTGGAAAGTATCTTCTTGCACGGAGTTTTGATATTTTGATAAACAGCAGAAGTTCTTGGGGCAAAACGCTCGTCGACGCTAGCCCGATTAGGACAGCTGGTGGAAACACTGCCATTTAATATTAGACACGCCTCTCGATAGCGATTATGTGGACAAGTTGCTTCGCTAGCCAGGTGAACGCGAGCCACCAATTGATCACTTCTTTTCTGCGCTGGATATAGGGGAATACTGTATTCTCTTAACGGCCTTTTCTTGTATTAATCAATTATTCGTTAAGAGCTACCAGTCTAGCGGCCCTGAGCCGCCATCCCCCCGTTCACCCACCAATATGCGGTTCGACGTCAAAGTAAGACTCTCTTCCTTCATTATTATGCCACTTCACTTGAGGAGTCAAGGTCCTTACTGACATCTGTTCATAGCGACAACTCTTTGCTCGCTCCGAGCGAGTCAAGGGGATTGACTTCCACCCCACAGAGCCATGGGTAAGCCTGCATATAAACTTACTGAGTAGTGGGATGGCTTGTTTCTAACTGACGGTTGCTATAGATTCTGACGACATTATATAGCGGTATGCTGTTGCATTGCACTGGTATAGTAATGATACGCTCCAGTTGCTGATATTCTATACTTAGGCCATGTCTACATCTGGTCTTATGAGACCCAGGTAAGCGTCCCTCTGATTCCACCCCAAGCATCTCATGCAGACTGCTGATGCCTGGTTATTACATTAGTCAATTATCAAAACATTCGAGCTTACCGATGTCCCTGTAAGAGCTGGTCGGTTCATTGCGCGAAAGAACTGGATTGTCTGCGGCTCAGATGACTTCCAGCTGAGGGTATACAATTACAATACCTCGGAGAAGATCATTTCCTTTGAAGCTCACCCAGACTACATTCGATCGATCGCCGTTCACCCAACGCATCCGTTCGTTTTGACCGCTTCAGATGATATGACAATCAAATTGTGGGATTGGGACAAATCATGGAAGTGTGTGCAGGTATTCGAAGGCCATAGCCACTATGTTATGGGCCTTGCCATCAATCCCAAGCACACCAACACGTTTGCTTCAGCGTGTCTTGATAGAACCGTCAAGATATGGAGCTTGGGCTCACCTAACCCCAACTATACCCTTGAAGCGCATGAGACCAAGGGTGTAAACCACGTCGAGTATTACCCACAGGCTGATAAGCCGTATCTTCTCACAACATCTGATGACAAGACTGTTAAAGTCTGGGATTACACCACAAAGGCATTGATTGCTACTTTGGAAGGACACACTAGCAACGTATCTTTCGCTTGCTATCATCCAGAGCTTCCAATCATTATATCTGGTTCCGAAGATGGAACTATAAAGCTCTGGCACGCAAACACTTACAGGCTAGAACAATCTCTCAGTTATGGCCTGGAAAGAGCCTGGTGTGTTAGCTACCAACGTGGCAAGCAGGGGATTGCCATGGGATTTGACGACGGAGCTGTGGTGGTTAAGATGGGTAGAGAAGAGCCTGCTGTATCTATGGATGGATCTGGTAAAATTGTCTGGGCTAGACATAACGAAGTCGTCTCTACTGTCATCAAGGGCGGTGATGCAACTCTGAAAGATGGTGCACCTCTTTCCCTGCCAACTAAGGATCTCGGCTCCTGTGAAATATACCCTCAGACACTGGCCCATTCACCCAATGGAAGATTTGTTTCCGTTTGCGGAGATGGCGAATATATTATCTACACTGCTCTTGCCTGGAGAAACAAGGCATTTGGGCAGGCGTTAGATTTTGCTTGGGGATCTAAGGACAACAGTAATGACTACGCAATCCGAGAATCATCAACAAGCGTTAAGATATTCCGAAACTTTAAAGAGAAGAGTGGTGGGCTTGACGTTGGTTTCCACGCCGAGGGCCTAAATTCTGGCGTCCTCCTCGGTGTCAAGGGTCAAGGTGGCATTGGCATGTTTGACTGGGAGACTGGTAATCTCGTTCGCAGGATAGAAGTCGAGCCTAGAGCTGTCAGTCGCCTTCAAATAAAACCCTCCGTTTATAATTTCACACTACTAACAATGTCTTTAGGTGTACTGGTCCGAATCAGGAGAACTGGTTACTCTTGCATGTGAAGGTACCTTTACGTCCTCGTTTTTCACGAGAGATTACATGCAGGACTCATGCTGGACATGCTGATGAGACGCGTGAAGCTGCCTTTGAGGTGGTAACGGATGTTATGAAACCGTTCGCACTGGTGAATGGGTTGGGGACTGTTTCATTTACACAAACTCGACAACCGATTAAACTACCTCGTCGGTGATCAAACCTACACGATTTCACACTTCGATCAGCCAATGTACCTTCTTGGATATCTCCCCCGGGATGGGCGAATTTATCTTACCGATAAAGAACTCACAACCGTCTCCTTTGCGCTATCTCTTTCTGTTGTCGAGTATCAAACCCTTGTCCTGCGAGGTGACATGGACTCTGCTACAGAATTATTGGAGGATATTCCAAAAGATCAGATGAACAAAATTGCCCGATTCTTGGAAGGCCAGGGCTATAGAGACCTTGCGCTCGACGTTGCTACCGACCAGGAACACCGCTTCGACCTTGCTCTCGGGCTCGGAAAGCTTGACATTGCATTGGAAATCGCTAAAGTAACAGATGTTGAACACAGATGGAAGACTGTCGGCGACGCTGCTCTAGCAGCATGGAATCTATCTCTAGCCGAGGAATGTTACTATAATGCCAAAGATCTTGGATCCCTACTTTTGCTGCACTCGTCAAGCCGAGACAGTGCCGGCCTTCAGAAACTGGCCGAGCAAGCAAAGCAGTCTGGCTCGCACAATATCGCGTTCTCTGCTCTGTGGCAGCTATCTGACGTGGATGCATGCATTGACCTCCTCGTCCAAACCAACCGTTTTGTGGAGTCTGTCTTCTTTGCCCAGACTTATAAGCCTAGCCGCACTCCAGAGCTGACTGTCCAGTGGAAACAGAGCCTTGAGAAAAATGGCAAAACTAAGGTGGCTCGTATCATAGGTGTGCCACCAGGTGTCGAAAATGCTGATGATGACCTTTTCCCTGAGTGGGATAATTATCTCAAACTCGAAGCTGAGGGTGGTATAAAAACCGCAAATTTGATCGATATTGATGCCAATGGCGATGAGGATGAGGCAGCCACTGAGGAAACTGCAGAAGAACCTGTAAATGGTGCTTCCGAGTAATCTTTATGCATGTTGATATGTTCTACACCTTGAAGTGTTAGACGAATGCAGTGGCAGAAAATGTAGTTTGAATTTTAGATTATGAAACAATTACAATGAATGAACAGCTCTTACGTTTAATAATAGCTTCATTTGCATAATATTGACTGTTATGTTAAGAATATTGGAATTATTTCCATTTCTACATTCTTCCGAAATGATTACGATAAGTTAGAATTGAACCTTTGAAGTAGTGAGTGTTACGAATACGTAGACTTGTTGGCCGATTTACGGATCTTGTATTGTTTGGGGCAGCTAATAAGAGACACGAAAAAGCATCCTTCCCCTGTTCGCCAGAGCTAACTATCAAAGTGCAATTCGTCAAGGAGAAAGAAAGGTAATGGTGATGGGCTGGTAAGCAATGAAAGAGCCGGATTGGGTATCACTCCGCAATTCACGCAGAGTATAGTCTTAGATGTTGGACCAACCGTCCTCAGAAAAGTCAAGTCAAAGCGCAAAGAATTGCTAGCAAAAACAAGAGAAGAAAGAAAATGGTCAAGCCGTTCACACGAATGGGTTTCTGATCATCGTGGACACCCATTGAATAAAAAAAAGAGAGAGAGAGAGAGAGAGAGATAGAAAAAAAAAAGAAAGGATCAGAAGAAAGACAGGGGAACCGTTTCTCCGGGGTCTGTGAGACAGGAGGATGGGGGGCGGCGGAGAGGAGAAGACGAAAACAAGGCAATATAAATATAGAAACTAACTCGAAAAAGCTCCGTCCGCCCACCGATGATGTTGCAATAAAAGACAAGCTAGCAAATGAAAGAAGAGAAACGTTATGAAGATTGGAGAGTTGAAAGCACGAGTGCGATGTGATCGTTGCCATCTTTGCCACTTGTATGGTGAAATTTATCCTCTTGAAAAAGGAAATTCGTAGTGATGATTCATGTGTGGGGGAAGTGGAAAGGTCATTGAAATGAAAGGGAACGAAAGCTCTGTAAAGCGTAGGGGGATGGGGGAAGATGCGAGAGTCGATGCAGGTATTGTGATAGCTGCAGAAAATAGAATTGGATAGAATAAGCTGAAATTCTTTATTCAGGGATACTGCCGAAGGCAGGGTCTCTGACGCTGCCACCTCCATCATTGAGGCCTGCAACTGGGCGATTGTAAGACCATCCTTCAAATGGCTTTTGCATGGTCCTAGAAAGTCCGGAGCCTTCTTCGTAGGAGTCTACAGGGACTTCTGAGGTAAACTCAACATCAAAATTTGCAGTGTCACGGGCGTCCGCCTGGAACCAGTTAGTACATGAGGAGGCAAGGCATTAACAGAATTATGGTTAACACATACCACGTTAGGCCGGAAGCTAGGCTCGTATTTACGCTGCAACAATTTGCGCCAGTCGATATTGGCGAAGAAGTGATGGCCTTTGATTTCCCCAGCACCGTTGGCTCCCAGACGACGGTGAGGATCTCGATCAAGAAGGCGAGATAGAAGGTCCCTCGCAGCTCCTGGAACAATCTCTGGGCCCGGGAAGGTAAGAGGGTCATGCAAGATCTTCCGATACATTTCATTTGTATCTTCATCGTAGAATGGAGGAAGGCCTGTTAACATCTCGTAAAGAAGGACTCCTAAAGTCCACCAGTCAACGGCCTTCGTATATCCATGGCCAAGGAGAAGCTCTGGAGCAAGATATTCAGGAGTTCCACAGAAAGCTAGAAGGGAGAGAAGGGGGAGATTCCCGTTAACAAATGCAAAATGAGAGAAACAAAAAGGTTAGGGTTTCTGGTACATACTGTTTGTGCGATCTTCATCTTTCATGCCGAGTTTGCAAAGGCCAAAGTCACACAGTGCAATGTGACCGGAGTAATCTAACAGGATATTTTCGGGTTTTAGATCTCTGTAGATCACTTTAAATCCGTGTAAGCATTCTAGAGCGCAAAGTAGTTCAGCTGTGTAGAACCGAGCCCTATTGATATCAAACCGTTGTTCACGCTGAAGATGATGGAAAAGTTCACCACCATTCACAAATGCCAGAACTAGGTATAGCTTTTCGGGCGATTGGAAAGAGAACTTTAGCGGGACAATGAACGGATTGCTAATCTGCGATAATACAGATCTTTCGGCCAAGGTATGTTCTACTTCGGAGCGAGAGATGATGTGGGCCTTTCGAATAGTCTTCATAGCATATATCCGTCCAGTGTCACGTTTCCTAGAGGGGTAGTATAAGTTAGCATAGACTGAGATACTGCAATAGCATGTGAACATCACTTTCGTAGCTGCTCTGCGTTGACTTACATAACTTGCATAACTTTGCCGAAACTACCTTTCCCAACAACTTTCAGCAGTTCAAAGTCAGCCATCGTCAGACTACGCTGGCGGTTTTCCACGAACGAAACGCCAATTTTTATGCTTCCGGTGCCAAACTGCAGGTCAATCCACTCGGACCCAAGCTGGCCAAGTTGCTTCTCTTTTTGGGCAAACGCTGCTGCAGCCTTTTCGCGCTCCTTTTTGCTGGCTTTAGGGTCTTCAACAAATCGACGGGGCTCTTCAAAACGAGGGTTGATTTTGCAGGCCCCAAGAAAGATATCATCGCTGCGCCCACTTCCAGGGCGTGCAGCAGGGTTTCGGATATAGACTTGAACATTTAAATCGGTGACCCGAGAAACATCGAATTTGAAAGAAGTATTGTCACCGGCCCACAGTGGGTTTTCTGGGGTGCCTGAAACAGAATCGACAAAAACCTGGAGTTTATCAAAGTCTAGAAGGGCGTACGGCAAATGTTTTGTAGAGTATCTTCCATGGTTTGTCGGAGCCGCGTTGATTCCGCCACTTGTAGATTGTGGCCTCATGGGATGGGCAAAGGAGTTCGGGATGTGTGATGCATGAGAAGAGGAGCTTGGCCTTATCGAAGCAGAGTATGAGCCACTCGAGCTTTGATAATGGGAATTGAAAACTTGTTCATAATGAGGAGATAGAGAGAACCCCTTTCCTTCATGGAGTGTCACAATCAGGATACCGGGCTTCAACGAGTCTGTAGGTGGGTTGGCGGTTGCCTCGGAAGCACCTATATGGATACAGGCATGTATTAGTATGTGCTAGTAAACACCCAGGCAGCCCTGGGAACTCCAGAGGGTGTTGGTTCTCACCTATGGAACTTGTGGAGGAAGATGCTGTTGGAGTCTTGCTGAGAGGAGCTCCCTCTTCGGCGGAAGGCTCTGCCTTAGGAGAAGAAGCCGTAGAGGACCGGCTGAAGGTGTTTGCAAGGGGCGCCAGATGCGTTTCCTTAAGTTCTATGTAGTTAACATATCTCTGTTAGCCTCTGTGAACCATGCAGTAAATGTATCTCCTTAGACCAGACTGAGAAGACTACTATACTTTTAGTTAACTTCCACGACATCTTGAAGGCATATAACCCTGGTGATTGACAGAGCTGTCTATCTAAGGAAGCCCGGGTCTCTTCTAAAGAGGCGTTAATAAATACCCTAGGGCGTCAGGAACAGGAGGAATAAGCCTAATAACAGGAGGCGGCGGGTGTGTGGGGGGATCAGTTGGTAAAGAGTATCTTTCGCTATAACACCATAAGAGCAGAAGAAGAGAAGGGATATTAGTAAAAAAACAAAAAAAAAGGAGCGATAGTCTTCCTGTCCACCAGTTTAGATTCCTCAGGTGAACAGGACAGAAAGTTGTGTGTTCTAGTCTTGTCCGTCTCTCCCTGCTCCCTTCACTCTGGCTTATCTTCACTGCGTAGCATCTTCACCTTTTTTTGGAAGCGCGGGCCAGAGTACCTAATGACTCAGCAAACCACTGTCCCGGAACAACCTTAATGCGTTTTAGAGTTGGCCCAAGCCACAATTATCACGTGGAAGGCGGACTAGCGGTATCGGGTCTAGCGCGGCGTAGTGGCTCGTCATTACCGCTTCAACCTCAGAGGTTCTGATCGGCCAAACACCTGCTAGCTGTCTGCTAGATTGCTTGTTCGAAAGCTCATGCGCGCTTATATTTGGCCCTAAAGATTCATTTATGATATATCCTACACCTATATTCTTTGTCAAGCGAAACCGCAATCAGCGAGACCTCCCAGCGAACTCTTAAACCCAATTTGCCTCGGGGGCGCGTCCGGACCATTTTACGGCGAATGACAAGCTGAAGACCGCCAGCTTACAGGCAGTCGCTTGGTTTTGCTCCTTTGAAATCAGTTATAGCGGGAGCTTGTCACCATATTCGCCTCAACAGATGATGTGCAGACAAATACAAGTATGGGCGTCATAAGAAAGAAGACCGCGGCGCGCGGCACAGACGGAGGGACAAAATACCACTGCGATGTCTGCTCTATAGACATCACATCTACGGTTAGTACGCCTTAATTCGACTTAATTCGACTTAATTCACTTTACAGCTTAAATAGAACTAACATTGCCTATCTAAAGGTTCGGATATCATGCGCTCATAGCGCATGTCCTGAGTATGACATGTGCGTTCCTTGCTTTGCGCGCGGAGCAGCCACAAAATCCCACGACCCCCGAACCCACCCGTACTCTGTCGTTGAGCAGAATTCGGTTCCGATATATGATCCGGACTGGGGTGCCGATGAAGAACTCCTACTCTTGGAAGGAGCAGAAATATATGGTCTTGGATCATGGGCTGACATTGCAGACCATATCGGAGGATATCGCACAAAAGACGAGGTCAGAGATCATTACATCAAGACCTATCTTGAAGGTTCCAATTTCCCGCTTCCTGACTTGGCCGATCCACATGATAAGTCATTGCAAGAACAAATACCTAAGGAGGAATTCCAAGCACGGAAGAAACGGCGTATTCAAGCGCGCAAAGAGGCTGCTAAGGCTGCACCTCCTGCAACACCAAAGCAAAAACCAACTGCTTCGGTGCCAGCCTGCCATGAAGTCCAGGGCTATATGCCGGGTCGACTTGAATTCGAGACCGAATTTGCTAATGATGCAGAAGAGGCTGTACAGCACATGCAATTCGAACCTGGGAATGGTCTCAATGCGAATGGTGAGATGGATCCTGAAATGGAGCTTAAGATGACTGTTAAGGATATCTATAATTCTCGGTTAACAGCGAGAACCGAACGAAAGAAGATTGTGTTTGAACATAATTTGCTTGATTATCGCAAAAATGCTGCTCAAGAAAAGAAGCGAACGAAAGAGGAACGAGACCTTCTAAACAAGGCGAAGCCATTTGCCCGAATGATGAACCACGAAGACTTTGAAGAATTCACCAGAGGCTTGGAGTACGAGCATAATCTTAGGCTTGCTATTGCCCAGCTCCAAGAATGGAGGACAATGGGAATTGGAGATCTTAAGAGTGGCGAGAAGTATGAACAGGAGAAATTACAGAGAGCCCAACGCTCCGTACCCCAAGGTTCCTTTGACCGTTTCAGCACCGCTAGACCGAAGGCTCTGGCAGGGACAGAGGGGCCATCTGCTGCTTCCCAACTAACATTACCAGAACTCCCGCTTCGATTGCAACGGCCCGGGTCTTCCAAAGCTAACCCTTCGGAGCCACCGCTGAACGATTTTGACAAAGCGTTTGCAAACCCAAGCTTAGCCGGTACACCTGCACCACAACCAGTGAAGACTAAATATACAGTTCCGCTCATCACCGGGCTGGTTCCCTGGAAGTTTGAAAACGACAACTCACCAGACCTGCACTTGTTGACAAAGGATGAAGCCGAGCTTTGCAACATTTTACATCTAAACCCGAAGCCCTACCTGGCTATTAAGGAACATCTGCTTAAAGAGGCAATGAAACAAGGCGGAAATTTAAAGAAAAAGGACGTCAAATCAATGTGCAAGGTACAGCTTACTTCATTTACCGTGGTGTTTATCTAACTCCCGCTTCATCCGAAATACTTCATTCACTGACCTTGCATTCTTCACTTAGATTGACGCCCAAAAATCAAGCCGTATCTACGACTTTATGGTCCACAGTGGGTGGATTTCCAAGGCGTAAACGCCTTCTGTTGATGACTTTTTACGACATTTTAGCTGCTCCCACTTGCATTGTTACCTACCTTTTGGAAATCAATTTATTACCCATAGCTCAGCTTCGTTTTCTCTTTTGAATTTTTTTCTTGTTTGTAAATGTACCTGCCGTCGAGGCTAGATATTTCCGCTGTTCAGATGAGTCGTGGGTACTTCTGGTCGAGAAGTGCGTAAATATGAGCAATGCTTTCTACCCAAATTTGGTATTAAGTTGAATGCTGTTACCGTGTGACCTCGGAAGGAAATGATCTCCTCATCTCACTCTTCGCCTCCACCTCTGTGCCATCTTCGGGAAACTCGTGTTGCTGATATGCGGGCTCCTGATGACTAATCATACTAGATTGACAGGAAGCCGGCAGTAAGGTTTGCTCCAAACTGCCTATTTGAACCTCAGATCTCGGCCATCAACAACCAGCAATTCTACAGATCCCTAGAGATCGACACCTAGAGATCGGCGCACATATTCCTTTCCTAATTTCACCCTATGAAAGGTTGAGGGCAAGAGAGGGGAAGATGACCAAGTATAATGCAGTTAAACTGGACCATTGCTTCACAGTCTTCTTCATCTGGTCCGAGTCAGAATTATGCGAAACGTCTTACGAGGCACTGCATGCCTAAAAACAGTCAAAATTGCAAGATGAGGGGATCATACAATCCTACCCATAGGACACTGACATGACACTTATTAAGCCAATTGGACCCGAAAACACTTGCATTATCTTATGCTAACATAGAGATAGATGGATTGACCCGCCTGGCTGAGAATCGCTGGCGCCAGGGGAAGATAGAGGGATAAAATCACGACAGAAAGGAGTAAAGCACAACCGAGTGTGACACGCACGCCTTTTCTGTACCAATGTTATGACATGCTCACTCTAGGAAGCCCGAGTTTTGTTTCTGGCTGATCGGGCCACCGCCAACCCTCACTACAGGTATAAGCATTAAGCTGTATATGATTCCCACTTTAATTATATATTGGCTGTACTAGCGATCCTGCTGGTTAAAGCTATTACGCCTGATTATAGACGAAAGGAGCTTCTTTGGTTGAATCTAATGGTCTCAGTGCTGTATCTTTGTACTGAGGATATGATTCTCTTCTTTGAATAAGCATATGACTCTATGAGTGATATCTGCAACTCAAAGCTGCACTTGGAATGCTTTAGTGCAATCCAAATGTCAAGCTCTGGTAAGCCGAGCTCATAATACCATACAGATACCGAAACTTGCATATGAAGGCTTTATTTAACCCGAATATCTCGCACGATGATGTGGCGGAGTACGTATTCAGGTCGAGCAAGCACAGGACATGGTAATAACACCTTACTGTCCATATTTGGAACACCGTCGTACCTGCTCGTTGCCCCTCACGATTCCATTCACAACAAATACGTAATATCAATTTTCAGCCTAGGGTTATACATCCAAGCATATGTGTTCTTCGGATATGTACCACGATTGAGTGAGTTATTGCCTAATGGACCCCTGGGTGTTCACACCGCTCTCCGAAAAGGGTTAATATTTAACCACTACAAATATCGAAAGAAAAAGCTCTCTTGAGTAATTTCTCCCCAGAATCATGGCCTCATACCCAGGTACGAGGTGTGTCCTTGTCGGCTAACAGCACCTTTCATACATTGTCAACATAATTTCTTCTCGACACATGTTTCACCGCCGAAGATACGTAGTATCTTGATCGAGATATACCAGGAGGGACTGTATTAAAGGTGAGAATGTACACAGTCGGTGCAACGTTTCTCATGAACAATGTTCGTATCCTGCCTATAACAACAGCCCATGTTTGGAAGCTAGTCCTCTGTTAATCGTTGCATTTTATACCCCGCCTGGTACACTATCTATGATTTCGGTGATATCGTAGAGACGAATATGGCTATTTAAACGGGCGTCAAAGATCTCGGAATGTGAGATGGATGGCTGTTGAAGCAGCCGACTCAAGCTCGAGGTCTGGAGCCAGAGTAAACATAGCTACTTCAAAAGCTTCCTCACTCTTATCAGGTATGCACCTTCCTAATGAGTTCGCATCATTAAGGAGTCTGTGCTAATTTGTAATACCCAGAAGGCGCTTCGTCCTAATTATCAAGATGCGTTTTCAGGCTTTATTTTATCTGTCCTTTATTGGGCTTGCGGCATCCGCAGCTATTGGTGCGTTTTCCGGTCAAAAAATAGGCAATTCTTCCTTGTTCAGTATATTCACACATTCGTGTAGATATTCGAAGGGCTGGGGATGAAACCCATATGAATCATCGTCGCACGCCACAGTTAGGTCTAGACGGCCTTCTGGGTAGCCTTGGGGGCTTGGGTGGTGCTCTTGGTGGTGGCCAACCAGCAGGAGCCGGGAATGGTGCTGCTGCAGGTGCTGGAGCTCTCCAGGAAATAGACAAAGATGAAAATCCAAGTCCGACAGCTATGGCAAACGAAACAGGGGCAGCTTCTCTGGAAACTGGTGCTTCTAATTCTACGGCAACTGCCACAGGTGAAACTCAGGTGGAGAGTCCAACACCAACTATTGAGGGCTCACCCATGCCGAACTCACCTGAGGCAAGTCAATCTGCCCAGGGGGCTATGCCTTCAATGTCGCCCAGCGGCAATCGTGATGATGGGGCCCAGTCAATGACTCAAGAGCAGCCACAAACCATGGGAGGAAAGCCAAAACAGACTATGGGAGACCAACCAAACCAAACTATGAGTGGTGACCAGAATAAGCCGCAAACAATGGGCGGTCAATCAACACAACACGAGAGTATGGTCAGACAGTCGAAGCAACCGGAATCCAATGGCACCGGGACAACAACTATGCCTGAATCTGAAGGTGAAAGCGCACCAATGCCAACTACTAGTGCGGAGACTGTTGCCAAAGGATCTCGCCCTCAGGCATCTGATATGTCAGGGCGCCGTCCTCGACCTTCAGCCCCTCAGACAGGGAAGATGCCGGCGAAGCAGCCTATGACTCCAGCCGCCACTGCCACTCCTACTGCCACTGCCTCCGCTGTAAAGCCAACAGCCACCTCCCCTGCCCCTTCGGTAATGGACCTAATTGCGGATGACGACCAGGAGAAGCAGATAGAAGGTACGGCAAAGGCACCATTGAAGAATTCCACAAAATCACCTCCTTCGGCCTCTGCCGCTAGTGAACAGCCCTCATCTGCATCTTCCTCATCACCTTCTCAAGCTGATACTCAAACAAAACCATCATCATCATCATCATCATCATCATCATCATCAGAGTTGAATTCGTTTTTTAAAGGCCTGTTATAATGAAGACTAATGGCATGGCTATTGCGCTGTGGCTTTAGGGTCAATGGAAAAGCAAATGAGGGCCACAGAGTGGTGGTATGAGATGATGTCAGGCATAGTCCCACGTTTTTATCGTTTATAAGAAACACTGCCATTTAATGCCCACGCTGTCTTCAAGGTAAGTAAGGGTATTCTAGTGGGAGTGGAAGAGCTTTTGAACCACCTCCAGGTGGTATCTGAAGAGGTGAATAGCCGTCCTGTCGTTCCTTGTTGATTTCTTATATCTGGATCCTTTTTGAGCTATGCACGCACCAATACCTCCTGTCGTTAATTAAATATGATGAATTTTCTATGTAGCACCTGACCCTACTTATCTAAAGCATAAGTCTATGCAATCTGGTATTGCCTTACTCGTGGTAATTTGACGCGGTAATGGTATATCGTTGCCTTGGGTTGGACAAGTTTAGGCTTACATTTATACGAAGAAAGAGGTAATGAACGAAGAGAAAATAAAAAGTCAAGTATCTAGAATGGGCATTGAATAATTGACTACTTTTTCTAATAACTTTGGATATCCAAAGATGTCCGTCCTGTATTAGTCCTGGGCACTCAACAGTAGACAAAGTGGCAGGGTGGAAAAGACGCAGCTCTGCTAAAAACTGTTATGGGTTCAATCTTCCACTAGACCTTTAAAACGAAGTATACATCTTGACCACAGAAAGGCACAAGATGTTGGCAAAGTTGTGGTTTAGGTAACGAGTTGAGCACTGTGTTAGAGCTCAGCCGTAGATAGCATGAGAACAAGGTGATCAACGTAGCAGTGGCATTAATAGCCGGGAGTTTATATCGTCTTCTACCGGAGTTGTCATCGTTAAAAGTGCGGCCGTAAGCAAAGATATCCAACATGCGGCGAGAGTCAAGCTGTGCTCTGAACTTGGGTTAGTTATTCGAGTAATAGTCATCGTAATAAACATCACGTCTCAACTACCGCCTAAGGCATTGACAGGGCAATCTACTTGCAATGATAATGAGTTGTTGATTCCCACTTCTTTTGGTTGTTTGGAGAGTGAAAGTCGGAGTTGAATTTTTTTTTTTTAAGCCTAGTTAGCAGTCAGGTGACCGTCGGATTAACTCAAGGTACTTTAATCCGAGATTCACGTGAGTCATATGCCTGGACCAACATTTTCTTGCAGCTTTTTCTCTCCCTTTTCTCCTTCTCTTCTTCACACTTTTATGAAATACTTATATCTCATATGAACGCACATAATCAACCTCCACTTCTCCTTTCCATAGGATGGCCAGGTCAGAATGCGTACTAGATGAATATAATGAGTGGCACCTTATGGCATCAACACTCATGAGATGAGCTTTGGGCCGCCTGCGGTTATAACATCTACATCGCTAATTGTATTGAGCAACATATTTCCTTTACAGCTTCTCTGTGTTGTAGTCGACTGGGGTCATCAATTTTAATTTAGATGTTATAGGATTATTGATAGTAATGCATGATTATTGTTCCCTTTAAATAGAGGAACAAAACAAACTGACTTATCAACAGGTGTGATTGGAATGGTCGATACGGAGTATGACAAAGTTAAAAAAAGAGGACGGTTCATCATATTATTGCTTATTGCATATCATATACATACATAAACAGTATAGGCATTGGATAAGTGGCACATAGGCTTGATATATGGGTATTATGCAAGAGATTTCATGACGACATCAATCATACCATGCAACAATTGCAAGCCAGCGGGGACAAATTGAAGAATAGTTGGGAATCTCACGGCTGATATCACTTGACTAGCAGAGTCAGCTCAAGCTAGGAAGAAAAAGCTGTGCTGCGGTGACGGAATACTAGTTATTCTCCATTGAGGTTTCCGCAAATTCCAGCCAATCTCCGGAGGTGGCTCGTTTCCAGAAGCGTAAAGAGCCGTCATCCCCGGAAGAGAGTAGACAATCGCCTAATTAAGAAAATGTCAGGCAATTATACAGCGTATGCAGTGTGGCAGAACATACCAGCGTGAGAAAACTGAACTTGCCAGACATCAAGATGTTTACTGTCAATCGATGCAACCTCTCTAAAGGTATGCTTGAACGGGCTTTCAGTGTTTTTCCTAGTATCTGCAAGGGTTCCTGATGTCTGGCCTGCAAGCGCAGTGCCAATTGCAGATTGGGTTGAGGCTCTGGAGGTAGCATTTGCGGATCCATTTTGCTTGCTGTTGCTGCCATTCGTGACTGATGTGTATATCTCGAAAATTTTGATGGTACCATCTTTTGAACCGCTACCAATTATATCAAACCCTCGAACAGAGCCGTTGGCCCATGCAATGTCCCGCACTAGACCAGTATGGCCAGTCAGCTCAATGGCATGGTAAAACTTCCTGTTCGCTGCCATTCTATACACCCTAACAGTGTTCATCGCCGCAACAACAAGAGATAAACTCTTTCTATCCCAGGACGGCATAACCATATGGGTCATGTCCATTGGATCACGATGGAACTGGACCTTGAAGCTCGTCTCATCTCCTCGTGAGGGTTCTGAACAAACACGAAACTGGTCGAGTTGTTGCCACTCCGAGAGGTTATCCGCACCAACTGGCTCCAATACGGTGAGAAGACCATCGCGAGTTACTAGAGCTAGCCAGGATTCGAGGTCAATATTTCGAAAGTCAAGCGAGACGTACGGCGTGCGAATAGAAGATGTCAGACGAAAGATGTTCCGGAAGCGCCGACCAGAGTTGCGGGACTGCGTCACGTCCTCTTGCCATAGTTTAAATTTCATATCCTCCCCTACGGTGCCAATATGCTGACCGGTGAATGGGCCGTTCCATGCTGCCTTGTGGCACAGAGAGAATGTGAGAAACGAATCTCCAGTCATAACAGATGCATCTCTCCCTGGGTTAACTTACATCGCGAATTTCTGCATCATGTGCTCGCCAAGTATCTGCAAGTTCCCAGCCATCATCCTTTTGATCCCACACCTTTATCCGATGATCCGCGGATGCAGTGAGGATGCGATTGCCATAGAAGTTAAACTTGGTTACTGTAACCAAGTCCCGGTGGCCGGCATCGAACTCGGTGAAAGCTGTCATCTCCGCGTAAGTCGCACACAGTACCTCATCTCTGCTTATAACAGGGATGGTTCCTGTATGAATGAATCAATCGCTGCGCAACTTGGCCTTGTCGCAAGTTGATTAAGATTACAGAGTTTCGTTGGTGACGTTTGCGATTCGCTGAGATAACTAAACACGTGATGCTGATAAGCGCGGCGGCTACTTACTTTGACGCCCAAAAGGACAACTTGCGGCAACTCTAATAGGGGCGTTTGTATTTAAGCGCCGAATTTTCTAACAGTCTTTGCTTTTGACTATAGTTGGGTGGCTTCACGCTATGTGCAGGAGACGATGACAGTAACTCTCAGTCGGAGAGAGACGTGGAGTCTCATCGCACTATCGATAGGGTGCTCAGCCATATTGGTGAAAAATGCGCTTCAAGATGGGGAACCTCTGGTGGCTTCACTGGCATTATCTGGCATCGCATTTGCTGCGAGCTTTAGTCTCATTCGATGGCTAGGAAACGTATTCATAAAAGCTGGGCTGAAAGGAAAGGACATGTCCAAGCTTAAGAAGATAGAGATGTAGGTGATACCGCGGGGGTTGGTTGGAACGATATATTACTAACATCAGCTCTAGACCCGAGACGATGGGCGCAGTTGTTGCAGTTGTTTACATTCTTACTCTTATCGTATTCATTCCATTTCCATTTTACAAAGAACTTGTAGCGGCCACATCTGGTGGAGGAAACCGTGATATACCCTTGCCCGTTCATCATGTGGAAACAGGCCGCTTTCTTCACAAATTTCCTCATAACAAGGTAATTCCCCTCTCTTCTCTTCGTGGAGTTACGGCTAACCATTGAAAGCTTGCAACATATCTTTCTGGATTACTCTCGCTGCAGTCAATAGTGATACTGGGGATTGGCGACGATCTGTTGGACATACGGTGGCGGCACAAGTTTTTCATTCCAGCCTTTGCTGCAGTGCCGATGCTAATCGTCTACTTTGTCGATTTCGGAGTGACACATGTCATAGTACCAGTCGCCCTTCAAGCTTACTTGGGGCCCTCTCTGGACCTGGGTTGGTTGTACTATGTCTATATGGCCGCAGTGGCCATCTTCTGCCCTAATAGTATCAACATGTTGGCTGGAATCAACGGGATTGAGGTTTCGCAGTCAATAGCCATAGCTTGCCTGTTGATAACCAATGATGCATTGTTTCTGTCGCCATTCACTCCATACCCACACCCAGCCACGGATTCTCATCTATTCTCAATATATCTACTGCTACCATTCATTGCTGTTTCACTAGCCTTATGGTGGCACAACTGGTATCCCTCTAAGGTGTTTGTCGGGGATACATACTGTTACTTCGCTGGCATGGTCTTTGCCGTTGTTGGAATATTGGGCCACTTCAGCAAAACTCTGTTGCTGCTGTTTGTTCCCCAAATCTTCAACTTCTTGTACTCTACACCACAACTATTTCACTTAATACCTTGCCCGCGGCACCGATTGCCAAAGTTTAACCCGCGAACTGGACTCATGGAACCATCCGTTACCGAGTGGACACGTCCTCCTCACTCCATCATCGCAATGGGCCTGGATTTGCTGGACAAACTCTACCTCATGCGGGTGAGAAGAAACGAGGAAGGCAGGATTATCGAGACAACAAACTTGACTTTACTTAACCTCTGGTTACTCTGGTTTGGACCACTGCGCGAGGATAAGCTGGCGATGCATATAGTCGGTCTCCAGCTTCTGTGCGGCGTGGCTGCGTTGCTCGTCCGCCACAAGCTCGCCTTGTTAGTGTTTAAAGAGGATAACCGCGGGCCCGGATTTGCATATGGCTTTGTATAAACATCGTTATCTTATTAGAGAGAATCTGTATTACTATGTATACGCGGAGAAACTGCGGAGTTAACAGGAGAATATAAAATAGCCGCGTTAGCCTTCCGAAAGCGGCGACCTCGGCCCGGTAATTAGCGATGACTAACATCCGCCCCTTGGCAGAATCTGACCAATCGGAGTACACCATTAAGTGCTGACCGCCGATACCGGCTCCTCCCCACCAGGGCAGCTATGACCAGCTCTTAAATATAAGTATAACCAACAGCCAGACATTGATATCAAGGCGGAAAAGAGTTTCAGCTTCGACTTCTGACTCCCCGGTTCTACGCCTCTCAGGCTCCCATTTCTCTTCTTTCATCATACGGGGGTGCTCTTCATACAGACTAGCAACAATGCCTGCTCTGGATAAACCGCCCCAGACGCTGTACGACAAGGTTCTCAAGGACCACATCGTGAACGAGCAGAAGGATGGTACCATCTTGCTATATATCGGTATTTTACGCGAGCATCCCTCGTTTAATTATTGGTCGTTAGGATTGACAGGAACTAATTGGAACTCTTGAACCCGACAGATAGGCACCTTGTGCATGAGGTCACATCTCCAGTAAGTCGGATAACATGGAATCCCTGTCCATCAAGCAACTAGCCGCGATTCCCAGGCTAATGTTGCGTCACAGCAAGCTTTTGAAGGTCTGAAGAATGCAGGACGCAAAGTAAGGAGGCCAGACTGCACCTTGGCTACAGTTGATCATGTAAGTATAAATCCTAACGCTACTGGATTAACTTCTCCTTGTACTGACCATATTGTACCCATTAGAACATCCCGACAACGTCTCGTGAGACGTACAAAGATGTTGCCGGCTTCGTCCAGGAGTCTGATTCCCGTCTACAATGCATGACTCTCGAAGAGAATGTCAAGGAGTTCGGTGTGACCTACTTTGGCCTGGGGGATAAAAGACAAGGCATTGTTCACATTATCGGTCCTGAGCAAGGGTTCACTCTTCCAGGCACAACAGTGGTCTGTGGTGACAGCCATACATCTACTCATGGAGCTTTTGGTGCTTTGGCATTTGGCATTGGTACCAGTGAGGTAGAACATGTCCTGGCCACACAGACATTGATCACCAAGCGAAGCAAGAATATGCGCGTGCAAGTGGATGGAGAGCTTCCGCCAGGTGTCAGCAGTAAGGACATTGTACTGCATGTGATCGGTGTTATTGGAACCGCTGGTGGCACGGGAGCAGTAATCGAATTTTGCGGCTCCGCTATCCGAGGCCTTAGCATGGAGGCACGCATGTCAATTTGCAACATGTCTATCGAAGCTGGTGCTAGGGCTGGCATGATCGCCCCCGATGAAATCACATTCGAATATCTAAAAGGCAGACCCCTTGCTCCAGAGTATGGCAGTGCCGAGTGGAAGAAGGCGGTTGCGTATTGGTCGAGCTTGAAATCCGATGAGGGGGCCGTCTATGATAAAGAGGTCTTCATAGATGCAAAGGACATCGTGCCAACAATTTCCTGGGGAACCTCGCCTCAAGATGTGGTTCCAATTACTGGCGTTGTGCCCGGCCCCGACGATTTCTCGGATGAGGTCAAGAAAGCTAGCTGCCGTCGCGCCCTGGAGTACATGGGACTAACAGCTGGTACACGAATGGAAGATATCCCAATTGACAAGGTCTTTATTGGCTCGTGCACAAATGCGCGAATCGAAGATCTTCGAGTTGCCGCTCATATTGTAGAGGGCAAGAAAATTGCCTCGAATGTCATGCGAGCAATGATCGTTCCCGGTTCTGGGTTAGTTAAGCGACAGGCAGAATCGGAAGGACTTGACAAGACATTCGTCGATGCAGGGTTTGAATGGAGAGAAGCCGGATGTTCCATGTGCCTTGGTATGAATCCCGATATTCTCTCCCCTCGGGAACGATGTGCCAGTACATCAAACAGAAACTTCGAGGGTCGGCAAGGTGCCGCTGGCCGGACACATCTGATGTCACCCGCTATGGCTGCTGCTGCTGCGATAGTAGGAAAGCTGGCGGATGTTCGCAAACTTGCCTCAACGATCCCGATATCACAGAAGAAATCCTCGCCTAAATTCGAAATACATCCAGAGGTAGAAGATGAGGAAGAGCTTGATCGAATCCTGGACTACCCTGAAGACAACGAACCACATAACAACACGACTGCTGAGAAATCTTCCGCTGGGCTTCCTAAGTTCACTACCCTAAAAGGAATTGCTGCCCATCTGGATCGAGCCAACGTTGATACTGATGCCATCATACCCAAGCAATTCCTGAAGACAATAAAGCGAACTGGCCTCGGCAGTGCCCTTTTCCACCCTCTGCGATACCATGAGGATGAATCGGAAAACCCAAACTTCGTTCTGAACAAGGGGCCATATCGCAACGCGAAAATTCTTGTCAGTGGCGAAAACTTCGGATGTGGAAGTTCTCGTGAGCATGCCCCTTGGGCACTGCTTGATTTCGGCATTAAATGTATAATCGCGCCGTCTTTTGCTGATATTTTCTTCAACAATACTTTCAAGAACGGAATGCTTCCAATTGCGATCCCCGATGCTGCTACTATTCAGCAGCTAGCCGCTGAGGCTGATGCTGGCCGTGAACTGGAAGTTGACCTTGTCAACCAACGAATCAATGACGCTGCTGGCAATAAGCTTGCAGACTTTGAAGTTGAAGAGTTCCGTAAACATTGTCTCATTAATGGTCTTGACGATATTGGCTTGACAATGCAAATGGAGAGTTTAATTCGTAAGTTTGAGGGACAGCGGACACGCGAGACACCATGGCTCGATGGAAGCGGATATTTAAAGAGACAAAACGGGAATGGAACTGGCCCTGCCATGGTGGAGGCTGCTCCTGTTCCCAAGACCAATAGGGGTGAGATCAAAGGTGAGCCTTTGGAATGGTAGGAGATGCAACCATAACAAAAAGGCCGTTGCATTTTCTTGTGTTCATATTATTAATACCCTGTCCCGTTGAAATTACGCATGGCATTGAAATACCTATCTGCATTACGTTTCGGTCATTTGTTTCGATGTTTATACATTTTATAAAGCTCGGTCTACATATTTTAGCATCAGAACAAAATCGAAGAAGAGCCTTAACTTCTAAGTTGCGCCTTGCTACCACTCGCATAAACCCCAAACTGCCAGTCTACTCCTTAGCACCATACTTAGCCCTATATTCAAGGAGCTTCTCCAGATTCTCCTTGCCAATGTCGTCCCCCAGCTTTTCGATAATATCATTCAAGTTGAGTACCGCCCGCACGGGAATTGATTCACCCAAGTCTCTCTGCGCAGCCCCGACTGCACTCTTGGTCTCTGTATCGTTAACTCTCTCCTGTCTATCCAGCAAGACCAATACACCAACCACGATGCCTCCCTCTTTCTCAATTATACCAACAGCCTCTCTCAAGGCAGTTCCCGCCGTGATGACGTCGTCAATAATGACTATCCTCTTGCCCTTGAGAGGGGCACCGACAATGTTCCCTCCCTCCCCATGGCTCTTAGCCTCCTTCCGGTTGAAAGAGTAGCTGACATTACCCCATACACCCCATGTATCTCGAACACCAAGCTCATTCAGAACTGCCGTGCAGAGTGGTATGCCCTTGTACGCAGGCCCAAAAATTATATCAAAGTTGGGAGTGACGGCTTTCCCTTCCTGGCTTTTGACGAATGGAGGGCTAGATAACACTGTAGCACAGGCGGAAGCTGTTGCGTGCAGTAACGGTGCAGTGTGGAGGAGGGTCGTCGTGAAGAAGTAAGGTGAATTTCGGCCTGATTTGAGAACGTAGGAGCCGAACGAAAGGACTTTGCTGGAAATAAGGATCGAGAGGAGGTTTGATTTGTAGTCCGGAGACTTGTCTGAGTCCTGAGCTGGCATGGTGCCTCAAATAACGATTGAATATAGCCGTGATCTGTGAACAAGCAGAGACGCAGCTACACGGCGGGGTATCTGCAAACGATTCTTGCGATCGGCCGACCAGAGAGCGCAATTAGAAAAGTATGTGAGATCCAGCCACCGTCGCGCTAGGTTTATCGTAAGCAGATGCGAGGCGTGGGAGTGTCAAGGGAATTCGATCACTGATATTACTGGTTTGGCTTTGATATCGTTTTTTCCTCATCTACGAAAAAAAAAAAAAAAAAAAAAAAAAAAAAAAAAAAAAAAACCTCCACTTCCCTTTTAGGCTTTCTGCCGCCCCTCACCGGCTTCTTTTTTCAACCTCGACTTCGACTTCATCTTATGATCAACTACTACTTCTTCTTCTTCTTCATTCTCATCATCATCGTCGTCGTCTTCATCATCATATTCAAGAATCCGATTTCTACTCAGCAGGTTCAACTATGCCTGCGCGTCCCGCAGACTTGTACTCGCACCCCACGCGGGGTTCGTTCGAGCGAGCAATCCGGCACGTGTAAAGGCCGCTGTTCACAGAGTATGCGGGTGCTTTTGAAATACTCCAGCTCAGGGTCTGCACAGAGTACTCCGTATCTTCTAGCGGAATTCCGATTCCTGGACGGCACAATCCTAGCTCTGAGGACTATAACATCTTGCCAACTGATCGTCTCCCTCATGCCTCACGAGCCTGCGTCGGTAAGGGAACCAGTGGAGCTGAATCTCTGCTAGTCACGGAACAGCAACGACCACCATCAAATCCTTCTGCCTTGCCCTGGCCCGCGTCGGAAGGCGCCCACAAGTCAAAAAGGGGGGAGCCTCGTGCCCCGACTGCTCTTCTCCAGCGTCATCAACAAGGCAACATGAACACGATCAGAACTTTGGACGAAAATCGAATTGGCCCCCCGTTTTCCGCCAGTTCATCTGTAGTTAGGCCGGGGACCCCCCGGCAAGCGGGACGGAGCGATGGTGTAATAACTAGGTTAGCGGAGGGGTAGAAAAAGGGAGAGCCGGAGGATGCATGCTGTATGCAGTCTAAACAACAGGAAGAAAATGCTGCCATGCTGGCTGGCTGGTTATATCTAAATTTTGGCCGTGATCGGTTGAGAATTGCGCCTCTTTGTGTCTGTCAAGCCTGGATCTGTAGTTGGCCTGCCGGTTAACCAAAAGCAAAGAAGGGAAAAGCAGCCAGTCCCGCCGCCCTGAGAAAGAGCTATATAAAGGGCGTTCATTCCTTTGCCCCCCCCTTTCAACCCGAGCACTTCCCCTTCTTTCCTCTCCTTCGTCTTCCGAGAGGAATAATTCTGTTCGTATCTGGCTTTTCCCTCACAGACGACTGCACATAGAATACAACACAACCTAGTCGCCGGCGGGTTCGTCCGTCGCCTTCTCCTCCGGCCAACTTTAAGCTTAGTTAACTAAGAACTCCGGCTCACCTTATTTTCTTCTCTGCCTTTCCTCTCCCCAAGCTTCTTCTAGCCAGAAACTTGCCCTTCCACCGCTTCTCCCGTACATGAGATAGACGACGTAACCGCATAGCTACACTATATGTTGCGCATACTGGCAGACAGGTGGGCACGCAAACGCTACTTCGGTTGAGACGCTCCTGGTCGGAATTGCAGCAGGCAGAGAAACAGTTTGTCGGACTTTTTGGCCTCGTCCTAAGCTCAGCTCGGAGGCTTTTTTGGGGTCCCTTTTTCCCACCTGTTCGTTCGGCCTATTTACTCGAATTGTTCGCTAGAAAAGAACAGAAAAGTACGTATAGACGCCTGGCTGGCTGGAGAGCCTTTGCTTCCTTCTTTACTCTTTTCCTTCCTCCTCGCCGGTGGTCTTTTCTCTCATTCACCGCGAGAGCCTCTTCAACTACCGGTTTCGGAGGGATTGAAGCCCCCCAGAAGGCAGAGTGAATTGCACCGACTGTTCGATAACTCACCTGTTCATCGAGCTAGCTGTACTGGTTTTTCCCTTTCCTTAGTCACATCGCTCGTCGCCGGTGAAAGAATTGTCGTTACTGACTGTTGCGTGTGTTCTGGCAGTTTTAACCCGTCATGCATATCAAAGACAAATTGGCCCTGGCAGAGGCCGCTGGGCGACCAGGAATCTCCTTTGAATTCTTCCCTCCTAAGACAGCGCAGGGTGTACAGAATCTGTATGACCGTATGGACCGTATGCATGGACTGGGACCATCGTTCATCGATATAACCTGGGGCGCAGGAGGCCGGCTGGCGGAGCTCACCTGCGAGATGGTTCACGTCGCCCAGTCTGTTTACGGGCTGGAGACGTGCATGCATCTCACCTGCACTGACATGCCGAGAGAGAGGGTTGATGATGCTCTGCAGAGTGCTTTTAAAGCTGGCTGTACGAATATTCTTGCTCTTCGAGGAGACCCGCCTCGAGAGAAGGAAGCATGGGAGCAGACTGAAGGAGGATTCCGGTATGCGAGAGATCTTGTACAGTACATCAGGGAGAAGTATGGCAACCACTTCGATATCGGCGTTGCTGGTTATCCTGAAGGCTGTGAGGATGAAGAAGATCCCGAACTGTTAATGAAGTACCTAAAGGAAAAGGTCGATGCTGGCGGCACTTTTATCATCACTCAAATGTTCTACGACGCGGATAATTTCTTGGATTGGGTGAAGAAATGTCGACAGGCTGGAATTAAGGTCCCCATCATCCCCGGCATCATGCCAATTTCAACTTATGCAGCCTTTATTCGTCGTACCAACTGGGTTAAGTGTGCCGTGCCCAAGGGCTGGATGGAGGCTCTTGAGCCTGTGAAGAATGATGATGCCGCTGTTAAGCAGATTGGAAAGGCCCTGGTGTCCGAAATGTGCAGAAAGCTGCTTGAAAATGGCATCAACCATTTGCACTTGTAAGTTGTCACCTGCAGCTATTACGTTTTTGAATTATTCAGTGATCTAATATCCTCAATAGCTATACTATGAACCTTGCACAGTCCACGACCATGGTTTTGGAAGAGCTGAACTTGAAACCCTCCACCGAAACTCCTCTTCAGAAGCCACTGCCATGGAGAAAGTCACTGGGGCTTGGAAGGAGAGAAGAAGACGTTCGACCTATTTTCTGGAGACACAGGCATCAATCCTATGTTGCACGCACCCAGTCTTGGGATGAATTTCCTAACGGTCGTTGGACTGATTCACGCTCTCCTGCCTTTGGAGAGCTTGATGTTTATGGTATTGGACTCAAGGGCACCAACGAGCAGAACATTAAGCTATGGGGTGAACCCAAGTCGGTTAGAGATCTATCAGATATCTTCGTTCGCTTCCTGGAGCATAAGCTCGACAGGCTACCATGGAGTGAAAGTGCAATCACTCAGGAATCGGAGATCATCAAGGACGATCTGATCGACCTCAACAACAGGGGCTTCCTTACCATCAACTCACAGCCTGCAATTAACGGTGCTAAATCCTCTCATCCAATCTACGGATGGGGTCCTCGGAACGGCTACGTGTACCAAAAGGCTTATCTCGAGTTACTTATCTCTCCAGCACTAATCGATGAGGTGGTCAGGCGAATTGAATCCAACGCGGACTTGACATACCACTGCATTAACAAAGATGGAGAATTAAAGACAAACTCGAGCGATACTCCCAATGCTGTCACATGGGGTATTTTTGCCTCCAAGGAAGTTATTCAGCCTACAATTGTCGAGACCGTTAGTTTCCTAGCATGGAAGGACGAGGCCTATAGACTAGGAGATGACTGGGCCAAATGTCACGATGCCTCAAGCGCTAGTAGGAAACTGATCCAGAACACAATGGATACCTGGTACCTCGTCAACATTGGTAAGGCCCCATCAATACCTTTTGTTTACTTTCTAACTAGTATGCTAACAAATTGTTTCAGTGAATAACGACTTCCATAAGACGCATGATATTTTCGATCTATTCAAGGGCCTAGTTCTCAAGGACATCGACACCGAAGTCAGCGGCACTCAACAAGCCACTGAACCTGCAGAAAACGGCACTCACTCAGAAGATCCAGCATCGAAGTCAGAGAAACAAGCTGTTTCTGCAAACTAGACTTGTCTTCACCACTCAGTTACCAACTAACAATCACACTAGCACTTCGACGTCGATGCCGTCCGTTATTATTATATTTCTTTTTTCTTTTTACTTTTTGGTTCTCCTTTCAACTTAACCTTCTTCAAAATACCCCATTCAACATTCGTGTTTCGTTTTAAGGCATTCGTCAGTTTTTTCCTCATCGTTTATTTTATTACCCCCCTCCGCAGCTTCCCTATGTTTGAGACAAAACACAAAAAAGACATGGCAAAGGAATAAACCGCCAGGGATAAAAAGGGATAGGCTATCTATTGTCTAGGAGGGCTGCTGGGGCTAGACTCAACTCATGCATGGGAAAGCGGCGTCTAGATGAAAAAGAAAAAAGGGAAGAAAGGTGAATGACTATGAAGAGTCAGCGATGCATCATTTTATTCAATTTATATCATAGCGGGCAATGGGACCGGGAGGCACGCAGCAAGAAGGAAGATTTCAACAAAGCACTACCTTGATGATTGAGATGATGCAACGGATGAATGACCTTTCCTTTCAACACTATTTCAACATAAGTAAACCAGCGTTTAGGTTTTCTTTTTAGAGAATTTTGTAATTTCATAGTCTAATGTTCAAAAAATTCCATGGATTTCCAATATGGTATCTGAAGTTCCATAGTAAGCGAAAGTAGTCTATTCAATTTCTATTTCTAATGAGTGTATAGAAAGACAGTGGATTGGTATGAATAGCTTCCTGGCTTAGCATGCATGAACGCGCCTTTCAAGAAGACATTTCGATGCTCAGACTATGATACCCTAATGGAGAGTCGCGTTCATTATATTAAATCCTGAAGGCAAAGGCGGCCGTCTTTGACTAACCTCTGAATGTAATTGATACTGCCACAGCCACAAATAAAACACCGATTACAATTTTCTTGGACCTCAAACCTTGTGGCAGCTTAAGCCCAGGAATTCCTGTCGTCCAGTACTCGCGACATTCCCTATACGTCATGGCTATGAGGGTGAGGTAGAATATTGCCATTGGTAACAAAGAGTAGTTTGCCCATTTGGTACGAGGCATGATCGGGCTTCTGTTCATGTTGTTCTCATTATCTGCGCGTTCCGTTTCGCTCACTTGGATCCCTGAGGCACGGATGAGCCCATCCACCCCCTGGCCGGGTTGCCCAAGTTTGATGACGTGAATTGCCGTAGTCTGCTTTGTGCTTCCTGTATTTTCGGCCTTTTCTGCATTTACTACACTTCCTGTTTTTGTAGTAGTAGTGGCGATACTCTCTCTGGAAGCACCGTGAGATTGTTCGGAGGAGCTCTTCTGCGTTGATATTTCGGTTGGAGTAAAGAAGTTTTCCACATCGCTTGCACTGAGTCGAACGGGGGTGACTGTGGATGTGGTAGTGGTAGTGGTAATGGTTGCAAGCAGCTCGTCTCCTTCTGAACCTCCGACCTGGAGAGTTTGTCTGGAATGGGTTTGAGGTTCCAAATACAGGTCCCTGGAGAAGCTCCTGTCCTGGAAATGGTTGAAATTTTGTCTCCCTACTGAACCGGGACTCCGAAAACTGGGATGGAGCTGTTGAGGGTATGTTGGCATGCTCGGACCACGGTGACCCCAATAAGGTGTCTGCTGAGGGGCCCTGTGGCTGGAGTGACCAGTTGGTGCATTCCGATCCGGCCCTGGAGGGTACCTTTGTCCCCTCTTTCGAGGGAGTGGTATCCTTTCGTCTCTTCCATAGCCGGGACCACCTAAAAAATACTTGTTTGTCTGCTCTCTCCACCCGTGCTGTGGTCGGCTAGCTGAAGGAGCGGAGTTATGCCTCCATTCCCGTGATGAGCCGTGAGGAGATGGGCTGTGAGGGTTGCCTGGAGGCCTCTCTTTCCGCCGGCCTCTAACTAAAGGGTCCGTGTTGTGCAGAAGAGCTTCGCGAATCTTAGAAAGCCTCCTCGGGGGAGTACTGGGGCCCTCAGGAGTCCTAGGCCGAGGACTTGGTACTCTTGAGGGATGGATCATATTATTATCATAGCGATAGAACCGATTGCAGGCTTGCTGAAAGTCGGCTATTTGCCGAGGAGTCATAGATGGTGGGTTTGGCTCCCTAGCGGATGGCATGTTGACAACAAATCGATCCTCAAGATTTTTTAGCGGTACACCAGCATCTGATAGGAAGGCCACATGAGCTTCTGCCTGATCTCGAGAGCTAATTAACAGAGAACTATTCATATCTGCGTCGGAGGACGGCGTAGGCACCGGGGTCCGTTCTGAAGCATCAAGGCTAATCCACTGATCTCCCTTGAGACGCCATTTCTGATTGTTCATAGCCCCCCCGGAGTTTTCGATCTGTGGGTCGACATCATCCGAATGGCTGTAATCTGTTAAATGCGGACTAATAACTCCAGTTCGTGGATTTGCACCGCGAGCTGTAAGAAAATCGTCCCGACTTACAGTCTGTGAAGTTCTTCTTGGACCTAAAGGTAGGGAACCAGCTGATGGCCGCTGACGGTCTGGTTGGTGAGGCCTATGCCTTTCCAACATGTCGTCCCGGTGCGAGGGGTGGGCATCATTATGAGATGAAGGCCGTGGCCTGTGGTCACCCTGAGTTCCGGGAGGTAGAATGAACTTAGGGGGTGTATTGCCGCTGGGGATCCGGGGTCTCCTGACGGTTCCTGCATCGCTTTGGGCGTCACTTTCGGTGCCAGTTCCCGCTTCTTCAGCAGATTCTTCGCCAGCAGAAAATTTCTTGTATTCGATACTGTGATTCTCATTCTTGTTCATGGCCATCTCAACATTGGGACTCGCTGTAGCAGTGGCATCATTATTTGCACCATCAGCATTCGAGATAGGTTCCTCCTGTGTACCGGTATTACGAAACACTGATCCGGAGAGCCATGCCGACCAAGATCCTGAGCGTATAGGTTTCTTCTGAGTCGACCTGCCCTTTGCTTTATCCGAGAAACTGGCCGACAGATCAGGCATCGGCATAATGGGAAAATGCCGGGAGTGTGCTGAAGCAGGATAAAAATAACACACAAAGATAGAGAATTGAATTGAGAGAATGTTAGACACTCATATGTAGTGGTGAGGAGTAGAAACGATGGACTTTCAGCAACTGCTCACAAGGAAAGCAACTCGAGATAAACATTAATCGAAGTAATGAGGGAAAACCTGCATTATCATACCAGTTAATCATCCTTGGGAAGTAAGCAAGCACGATGGGTATCATAAACAAGTACAAGTACAATGAAAAAGAAAGAGCTATGAAGAGCGCTGGAAGACGTTATGCGGCGAAAATGCATTGAAAGGAGTGCAGGTATCAACCAAACTATAACCTGCCATGCTAGTGAGGTAAAAAAGAGAAGGGCTTTTATACAAATGTACGGATTCATGTAGGCAAACTAAAAGTATGAAGAAGAAAGGCTCTTATCAAAAACGCCCACTTTCCCTCCTAGGAGAAAGTACGTCCGCAAGCCGAGATCTCCGGCTAGATGACAGAATGGAGCTCATATCACCCGCCACACTTGAACGCTTGAGAGGGCTGCTTGGAGATTTCCTGGGACTATGAGCGCCGTCAGAATCTCGGTAGGCAGAACTTTGCCTCCGGTCCAAATAGGGTGTTGCTGACTTTCGTAAGGGAGATTGAGCATGGGAATATACCCCAAGACTTCCTCCATCGCCCGTACCAGATGGTGGTCTGAATTGCGGTTGGCGAATGGCACCACTTTTCTTGTTAATGGGTGTAAATGTGTCCACAGTATAAGAGGGTGTTTGTATATCAGTCGTCCGTTGTATAGAACCGGTGGACGTAACTTGCAGTGTTGACAGAGAGGTTCTAGGAGTCACCTGTGGTCGGGTTTTTACACGGTAATCGGGATCGACGTGATGGATGTAGTTGGGGTTTGGGCGAGTCTTAAAAGTGTGTTGTGTGGTGGATGGTGCATAAGTTTCTACCACATTATACTTTTCATCCTTATGTGGGATAAAATGATCTGCCTGTGAAAACTGTGTGGCAACGTCGCGAACGTCCGGATCTGTTCTTGGGTGGACGAATTTCGTATCGTATTCATTCAAAACCTCTTTATGGACCAAAGCTGAATCTTTAGCTTGCTGGGAATAGAAGGCCGAAAGGGTAGACATTTGCGCTGTCAATAGCAATGCCAAAAATATAGTCGTCACTATCGTTACACTGGGCCGGGGATCCGAGGAGAGCGTAGGCAGGAATAACCAATACACGAGAATATGACCAGGACTAAAAAGACAAAACAGTCGAATAGAAATTGGGTGCGGATCCCAGACAGAGAGCTGCCATACATCACGGTGCGCATCGGGATGTGCCCTCTTCTCCGCTGAGCTAGAAGATAGAACGTCGGAAATGAAGCGCAGGGGTGTGGATGACATCGGCGAGGAGTTCACTTGCACTCGTTTGGCAGAGGGTGTTGATGGTACGTTCTCAATAGGCACTTCAAATAAGCGGTAGGGGCGCGTCCGGCAGAATGCATATAGCGCATTTGAGATGGACAGAAGCGCCAGCGCATGAACGATGAACGATGCCTGTAAAACGGAGATATCCGTTAGCATATGATACACTAAAAAAGCTACCGTTTTGATCAGGGATTCCGCATACCAGCCAGGCTATATAGCTTACACCTCCTTCATCTCCAAACACGTCGTCATGAGCCCTGCTGCTCTTCTGGCTATTTGCACGCGCAACGAGAAACAAAACGTTCAACGCGATTCCAACGGGTAGCGCCCACTCCTTCTCCCACTGTTCCCAATCACTGGAGTCGAGCTCCTCCGAAAGCCATAACAGAAAGTCAAGAGGGTTCAAAAAGGCCTTGATACGCTCGAGAAGCGGTCTCCGCCGGATGAGAGGGGGCATCGTAAGACGTGGGAGTCAGCTCCAGCTTTGAATGTCGCAGGGGGTGAAGAGCAGGCCGTTGTTGGTTTCTAGAGCTTCTAATTCCGATGCATGGTATCTCTGTAAGTGCCTAGATGAGTTAGTCACCTGTCTGAAAGCTCCAGCACGCGGTACCTGGGCTTGGTGTCGATATTCAGTTCTGGCTTTGCTGCTTTCCTGCCGTGAAAAAAAAAGTAGAAAAGTAGAACAGTATTTGTTTATGGTTGGAGTTTCGTTGCTGGGCGGCGATTGCATCACGTGATTTTAACAAAACATAGGCACAGCGAGAGCGCCAGGCATTGGAAGGTATCTAAACGGCCGTTCATTACGTACGCAGGGTCAGCTTTAAGAGGGTTTGGCTACAATATGAAAGCCTTGATATTACCGTTTAGCTATTGCAAGCCTTCGAGTAATCGCCAACAACGCGGAAGAAGGGATCTGTCTGGATTATATAAGCCGTATGAGTTCATGTGCAATCCGATAAGCAGCTCCATCCAACTTTGGATCGACCAACAGCTTTGAGAAGAAACGAAGCAGCCGTCTTGTTTTCTCATTTCCTTTGCGAGGAGGGAACTGAACAATTTGGAGATATCAGTTACCTGTCCAGTATAGCAGCTGAGCCGTGCCAGGGGATCTGTTAGATACTTCTTTTCCCGCCCTTACGCCGTCAGAAGCAGTATGTCTTCAGGCTCCAAGGTACAATAACCTCTCTTCATAAACCCAAGCGGCACAGATAACTTGACGGCCTAGAAAGCTGGATACTGATCTTTTCCCGTTCTTTGATATTTAGGATAGGCAATTTCTCGCCGTGATCGGAGATGAGGAGTACACTACTGTCCAACCTTCATATATACGTGGGGATGTTGCTAACATTTGAGGTCTGATACAGCTCTGTGACCGGACTTCTACTTGCAGGCATAGGTGTGAGTACACCTACAGTGCTAATAATGAGATTTCCCTTGCTGTCTTGATGGGGGGGAACTCCGTGACTGTTGACGGAGGTGCTGACTTGGGCTACCCAGCACGTAACGGATCCTCCAGACTCCCAGCGCAATTTCCTTGTCGTTGACTCCAAGACCGAAACGAGTGCCATTGAAAAAGCGTTCAAAAATTTCACACAAGAGAGAAAGGATATCGGTGTCCTACTCATAAACCAGCATGTATGCAGCTCCCTTGTCTTCAGCTCAGTTGTCAGGATAACCTGCTAACGGTGGTTAATAGGTGGCTGAAAGAATACGAAATAGCGTAGACAAATTCACCGAAGCTTTCCCGGCCGTGCTTGAGATTCCAAGCAAGGACCATCCTTACGACCCCGAGAAGGACAGTGTATTACGACGTGTGAGAAGACTCTTTGGCGAGTAGGCGCTGTTTCGAATGTAGGAGACGGTTGTGTTTTTGATCATTATATATTTCGGTGATAGTTCGTGATAATATAGAACCTGAAGATATGATTTGGGTTGTCATACATAGTTACTACCGTGTTCTGAGAAGTGCGACTGCTATATGATCTATCCTCACTAATTGCTTGTATTATGGTTATCTATCTGTGTTTGAACGTATGAACCGAACGGGACAAATATTAACGAAATATGAGATATGAAATATGAAATAACATCATCAAGTAAACAAGGCATGCTTGAGTGGATATGCAAGAACAAAACCCCAAAATTCAGCAGAACACGCGCTAGTATTTCTCAAGTGGTATGTAGAAACCGGAAGGAAGGTATCCCATGGCTATCGGAGATACATGGGCTAGTCGACATATAGCAAAGCTAAGTTAGTCCAAAGGCTTGGTTTAAACAAAGCAGTGCATTTCATCGACACGAGTAAACGAAGTATCCAAAGGATCATGACACAATTCATAAACATCGTAGCATCAGCCGTACCACTGAAGTAGGAGGCCTGGCAGGGTTATCCAACGGCTGCTAGAATGACCTTAACTATGATACTCAATCAGTCACAGGCACACCAATAAGACGACGGTGACCTAATGTGGTTTTTACACTTTGATTTCAAAGACGACGGTAGCTGTAAGACAGGTAATCGGTTCCCCCTCGACACTCCTTACATCCGCTCGGACGATGTATTTGCCCTGTTTTGAGAAGGTATGCATTAGTCTTCTGCCTATCTTTTGGAGGCCAAAAAAAGGATGACTTACTGGAGGAACCTGAGGAGGAATATCAACGCTCTTCTTGAGTACCATCTTGCCTTTCTCGAGTGGACACTCTAGCCCAACCTTCTCGGTCTGATCACACAAGTCCATCTCCTGGTTTATTAACTGAAGGAAGCCATATGTGACCTGCAACTGAACGGTAGCTCCCTTGTCGATTTCCTTGGCCATGACTCCGGAGGCTTTAATAACTAGAGGTTGGCCACTGTAACAAGTTTGTACATTAGTATAAGCTACATATATATGCGTATAGATAGACTATCGGGAAGAGACAAGCTGAGAGTCAACGACTTACGGGAGTGGTGGGTTCGGAGAGAGGTCTACCTTCTCGATTGTAAGAAGGTTCTCCGCTGGATCGGCGCAGTACATCAGGGGGTTGACGCCGGGAACTTTGAGGTCCCCATCAGTGTCTAATGGTATCTGTGAGGTATCACGGAAAGGTGAAGGAGGAGCGGCCAGGGCGAGAGGAGACAGAAGCAAGGCGACGAGAGCGGTGGGAGAGAAACGCATGATGACGGGTGTCGAAAGGTGCCGAAAGACGGACGGGTGGTTTGGTAGAGGACTGTATGGGATATGGATAAATAAACAGCAGCTACCCCGTTGTCAGATAGAGCTGTTAATGAGAGTCGTTTGTACTATGCAGCAGACGGATGTGGCCTCGCTCGTGCGATGTTGTAGTCAAAGAGCTCGATCTCCAAGCTGAGCGAAAGCCGAAATATTGGGGAAGCTTGGCAAGTTATGTCATGCGACCGGGAACCTTGCTTAGTCATTGAACTCAATATCAAACTCTAAGTATACTTGTCTTTTGGGCCAAGGACGTACTCTGTACACAGACTGGCAAGGGACGGCGGATGATAATATAGAAAGAGGGTTGCCAGGAGGAATTTGGTTGAGATATATTGTATTTGCAACTGAGGCGTAGGATGAAACTTTTCTCCTTGACAAGTTCACTCATTACCCTTCTATACAAAAAAGAACGAAATCAAAGCCACATAACAAAGCCACTTAACACCGCTAACTCCAGGGGTTCTTCCGAATTTAAAAAGAAAGCAAAACAAGGAATGTCATCTCGTCATTGGAAAACAAAGCACATTAGATGATAAAGATATGGAACCTGGGATGAAATGGTATCAACTTGGATTTCTTTAACGTCGTTGGGTCTTGCCAATAGAACGCTTGCCGGTAAACTAAGGAAGAGGGAGAGTTAGAGATGTTTGAAGTAATAGAAACGAAAAAACACATACCAAGTGCTTGGGTAGAGAAGCAGGAGTGTGCCTGTCAGCTTCACCCTGTCTGGCCATACGGTTCATTTTTTTCTGGCCGAGCTTCATGAGTTTCTCCGCATTAGACCTGCTTGTCAAGCTAGTAACTCCATCCACACGGCGGTTGGTAGCTGCCTGGCTTCGTGCACGGCTAACAGCGCGTCGGAGCGCATCGTGCTGTGTCTCTGGGGTATCAAGGTCCATGGCATCGGGTTCATCTCTAGTTACAGTGCGGCCACGGGATTCTGGTTGGGCTTTGGCACGGGCGGAGGAAGCGGTTGCATCGTATCCAATTGAGACAAGATGCTTCTCCATATCCGATAATTTCTTGCTCCGTGAGCTTCGTGGGATGAGTGCGCGATTTTTAAGAGATTTCCTCAACTTCGACTCATTCATGATCAATGCTCGTTTTTCCCTGATCAGGTCCGCTTTCATGCGAATTTCAGCCTCGTCGGCATCTTCCACAGACTCGTCGGAGTCATAGTATCCCTCTGCTTCTAGTTTCTCTTCCTCCTCTTCTAACTGTGCCAATTTTTCCTCAATGTCGGGATCAACAAAATCATAGATATTCTTTCCTTCCCATAGTTCAGGCATCTTGTCATGTTTCCACTCATCGTTGGCAAAAAGGTAGCTTTCCTTCATATCGAAGCTGTAAACACCAGCACCGCCATTTTCTTCCTCAATATCTCTTGCGAGTTTGCGTCTGTTTGGATCATTTTTATCGTATTTCTTGAGGTTCTTGACAGCTTCAGGGATGAAGGTCTCGCGAACGCCACCAATGGGCTGAGCGACGTGAATACGTGCCAGAACATCACCCAAGCGTCCTGTGGGAGTTCCTGAGCTGTTTGCGCCAGTGTTCAACTTCTGAGCAACTCGTTCCGCAATAAGCCTGTCACAAGCTGCGTTTTTCACAGCAGTGACTCCCTCCGTTGTGGCGCATGAAAGTTGCAACATCTCCACGCCGGATGACTTCAGAAGAGCCTGTAGTTGTTCCTGGGTCTCCGGATCAAGATCTTCAGGGCGCATAACATCAATCTTATTGATGACGATGAAAACGAGCTTATTTGAAAAAAGAGGCTTGATGCTGTTGAACAGCTTGATCTGATCGACAACCGTATATCCGCACTGTTCTGAAAGATCCATAAAGTACAAAATAGCAGATCTCAAGTGCGCAATTGCTGTAATCGACTGCATTTCGATAGTGTTCATTTCTTCAAGAGGATGATCAAGGATTCCTGGGGTGTCGATGGCCTGGAAACGAAGATATTTGTAATCGAAATGTCCAACGAACAAGCTCTTGGTAGTGAAAGCGTATGGCTGAACGTCTACATCTGCCTTGGTGACACTTCTCAAGAAACTGGATTTACCGACATTTGGATATCCGCAGATAAGGAGAGTTCGGGTGTTAGGATCGATGGCTGGAAGACGACCGAGATGCTGACGAACTTGTTCAAGGTAGAGTAGTGGGTCTTTCAGACGCTTACAAATCGTCGCCATACGACCAAGAGCGGCTCTTTTCAGCTGTTTGCACTGGAAAAGAGACTGTGCATATTTAAGCAGGCGTACGTAATCTCGGGCAACGGTCTCAACGAGGCGTTTGGCAGTCGACAGTTGGCCGAGCGCAATTCTGAAATGGTCGGCATCATATAGTGTGTTTAAAAGATCCTTATCTAGACCAGGGAGAAAATATTAGTTAGCGCACACTTCCAATGAAAACACTCATATGGGCGAGGGCCAAATAGAGCTATTTCGAGGGAAGGGAAAGTCATACGGAATGGATGAACATCCTGCAACCTTGGAAATCCATCGAGAATTGCCGAAAACTTCTCACAGAAAGTCTCAGAGGTGAATTTGACCTTTCGTGTGTAGAATGCTATCGTGATGATATATCGTTAACCAAGTTGGACATCAACCACTTCATCTATATAGGTCCAAGAGCCTACCTCTGATACGACTAATTTTGAACCCAGCACGAATCTGTGTTGGCAACCGTCTCTGGGTTCGACTCAGGACAATATCAAGGAACTCCTGATGCGTTGGCACCGGCTGGATCTGTTGGGCAACGCACAGTTAGATACCGTTTTCTCCCACCCAGACATAATCAATCAACGCTGGTGACGTGCGAAACAAAAAAAATGAATCAGATGATCTACTTACGTCCTTCCAAGTGGTCTTCATGGTGACCTCGAAATATTGTCCTTCTGCGACTTGATCTCAGGGTCGAAGCTCGAGATGAATCTCTTGTTTCTTCCTCTTGAAATCAAAATTTCCCGTCTTTATCAGAAGGTGGGAAACTTTTAATTTTTTTTTTTATTTTTTTGGGGGGAGTTTTTTTGCAGCCACAAACGGAAGTTTTTCCCGGGGCCTTGGCAGCTCTGTGCGGCAGGTTTAGCCTCCCACGTGACATTTGTATCGGTGAAGTAATATCTTCATTCCGTTGAGTTACATAATCAGAACATTGTTCGCGATCCAACGACCTTCCCCTTTTTCTATGGCGACAACAACAAATTGAACAATATTGAACATCCTCAAAGCAACTTGTTGGAGGCTGCGAAGGCTGCAAGACAGGAGATAATCCAGTTATTAGCCATATGTAGAGGCGAGTGTCCAAATATCATATTCAATGTTGGGAGGTGGCTGTTGCTCTTTGGAGAGTCCAAGGGATGATGACACTCAAGACGAGCGTTAAATCTACAGGGCACTCTGGTGTATTTGAACATTGATATTATTGCTGTTGCTATGATACAGTTTCATCCTTTTTCTCCCCTTGTATGTGCAGCGTGTTCATAATATCCCATAACACGTAGCAATGCTTTTCCAACCATCACTAGGGACACCCCGACGTTTAGGTATAGAGCTGATATAGATAATGATGCATGCACACCACCACGACCGACCACCCAAAAAAATTGCAAAAGCCATCCGGATGCAAGAATGAGCAATGCTTCACCCATGTCAAGTCAGAAACCCCCATCAGCAAAAATAGAAAAGGCGAAGATGGAAAATAGCAGTTGTAAAGCTTAGTTGGGAGCCTTGCTGAGATCAAGGACCTGTTTAAATGAAAGTCAGTGACTGAAGCAGTTTGACAGCGACCAGAGAAAAGGAGCCACGCATACCATGTCGTTCCAACCCCCGCCGCCAAAAGTGCATTTGCTGCGCCCAACGTTCTCAAATCCAAGACCAGTGTAAAAAGGAATAAGATGATCATGGGAAAGCAAGACAAGTCGATCAGCAATTTTCGCATCCTGGATGCGTTGGATATATGACTTTATCAGCGTTTTGCCGAGACCCTTGTCCTGGTGCTCAGGGAGGACGGCGAGGGAATGGATGGCTATGGTAGATCCCTGGTCTTGGTGGCCGACAGGCTCCTCTTCGCCCGGGCTTGGTAGAGTAGACTTTTTAGTTCTCCAATCCTTAGGAACCCCCATCGTCGCATTTGTAATCACAGGCGATGTTGTTCTCGTTGCAAGAAGGTGAGCAATGACCACGGGCCTAGGTTTCTCATTGTCTGCAGTAGCCGGTGGGATGGAGAAGATTCCAAGAGAGAGCTCGGGGCATTTTGAGAGGCGATAAGTCAACTAAGAATGAATTCACTAATTAGTAACATGTTTCGAGGGAAACGGGTGGTAGGGGACACAGGGAATCGGGTCTTACGTTTTCTCTTGAACACCTTTCAGACTCAGGGAACGCCAGTTCGACCTTTTCACAGTCGTCAAGATCCGAGACGGAGAGCAGCTGCACGTATGGGTGGAGTTTAGCTAGCTCCGAGTTTCTTGCTGGTACCCGGGACCGCAAATACCAAGGATAATCCGAGGCATCCGAATGGTTAACGGCTACAAAATCATCCTCGTCGGTGCCGTAGGTGGAGCTGCCGTTAGGGTATATATCTTCAACATCATCATCCTCATCCTCATCATCTTCATCGTCATCATCCTCTTCACCCTCACCTCCCGTTAGTCTATTAGCGCCAGCCCCGTTGAAGAGCTCGGATCGCCGCCTAAGGAAGAGTTTCCGTGGCAGAGGCGTAGGCCGACCTGCAAGGCCTGAGACGTCATTCAGACGAATGGCGTGTAAAGCAGGGGGGTTCGTCTCGTGTGTTTCGTCAGCCGGGGTCGCGGATATGGATGTGCCTTCAGCCATGGTGGTTCAAGGCAGCCAGCAAGCGGGTCTCCGGTGCAGGGAAGAGATGATAGTGTCAGCTAGTTATCTTCAGGGTTCCACGGCAACTGTTCCCTTCTCGTTACAAGCGGCGAAAATGCGGATACTGGTCCCTTTTAAAGGCGGTTAGCATGGCTTCTGGGACAGAAAATAACAGAGCGAATAGCAAGACGGCGCTTAATTCGGAAGTGTAGATTGTACAAGGCTAGCAAGCAAGAAGGAAGGAAAAGCAACGAAGCAACAGCAGAGAGCGACAACAGAACGAGCATCACAAGCTAAGACGTTATATCTCTTTATTCCTCTTCCTCTTCATCTACAGTGTAAAGTGGCAAGCTGTGGGAGTTCGCTCGCCCTGCGCGCACAGGTAGCGAGCGGGCGAGACATTCATTGCAATGATAGAACGCAACGAGCAAACAAGCAGCTTCCAGACAGCAGCGCAACGCGCATGGGAGGTTCTACCTTTTGTAATATTATTATCTTTCGCGGGACTGTCCTGGACGTCGAGCTGGCAAAAGGGCGTGGAGGGGTGATCTGCTGGTTGGCGAAGCTGTGGCGTCTGGAGGCACCGAGCCGAGCTGCGGGACAACTTGGGCGATAACCCAAGGGATAAAGCTGAGAGGAAGAGCGTCTCGAGGGTAGAGGACGGGGCCACTGGCTGTCGGCAGGAGGGCAGTTGGTGCTGTTCGGTGGTTTTGACTATGCGCCTGGCAAGGGGGCGACGGAGGTTGAAGTCGAGCGAAAGTCGAGAAGTCTGAGGGCGGCCGGAGTCGTAATTTTTCACTCTGCGGAAGACAAAAATATAGAATTCGGCTACCCCTTGGCGCGGATACATGGGAGATACCTTGGGATACCGCAGAGGGCGGCTGGAAGACGAGGTATCTTCCAGGTAGATGTCCATGAGTCTAGTCTGACTGATAGACATGGTCTAGTAAACGTTCATCTACGGAGTATACTGCGGCGACTTGTCTTCACCTACATACGCCTACTTCTACGGAGTGTTGACTGCCTCAGTAGCATGCCAGTTATATCCCCAACCAGATGTCACAGAAGCCCGCTTGGCCAACAAGGTGGACGGGAAAGCGGCGTTAGCTCAAATTTCTAGCAAACCAGGGAAGATATCAATATCGACTGAGCAAACGGAAGTAGCCCGGAGAAGCCACTCGAGAGCCGCTGGTGCTGACTATCTTTGGAGGCGACTAGCAACTAACTAGTAGTGAGTCAGCTAGTTAGTTACTTCAAAGTCCAACCAAGCAGGTCCACGGCTTCGTGGAGCATCACACTCCTACACCCCCCTGCAGATATGTATCTGGACCCTCGAGAGACCGCTCCCTGCTGTGATCGGTGTTGGTGAAAAGGCGCCAACCGCTATGTACAGGGAAGCCTGATAAAAGCCTGGGAAGCGAGTAACAAGGGATGCCAGTAATGTCCGCGCCCCTCTTCCTTCGTCCTCTAGATCTTGACCCTTTCTGTCATGGTGGGAAAGGTAGTTTTTTGTATTATTGGAGGTGCCCACCGTGATACCATGCAGCCATGACGGGAATGGTCAGCGGGGGGAGGAGGGTTCGATAGTTATCCGTCCCTTCTCGTCCCCTCGCGTCGCCCTCCGGTGAATAGTGCTACGGCAAAGAGCATGAATGGTGAGACATATATAACTCAGCTGCAGTCGACAAACGCAGCCCATCCCTGCGTCTTCCATCTGAGTGAGTACAAGACGGGAGGCGCATTGTATCCTGTTGATATGCAGCATCTCGGGCCGCATGCTGCACGAAAAGGGCAAAGCAAGGGAGAAAAAGAGGAAAGGAGCAGAGCAGGCCGCGAGATTCGTTTGTTCACCGTCCCGGGATGGATGGGATGACGGACAGGACTGTTGCAACGGCCTGCGTGTTCCTGTGTTCCCATCCAGGGCAGAGAGCAACGGGTGCTTGCTTCTCGAGTTTCACCCTCCCCGGCCAATAGAACCCACACCCGCCTCTGTTTGGATCTGAGGATGGCAGCGAAAGTCGAGGAGAAAAGGCAGCCTTGCATTCGCACGCAGACGCAGGAGGCAATCAATATGAATCAGACTGCATGGATGGGCGCGAACTGTTACTAATTCACGGCCTGCTGTCTGTTTCTCCTCCCTTCCCGTTGCTTCTTCGTCTCCTTTGTCCGACCTGGTCGATAGAATTAGCTTGATCGTAGGGAGAAAAAAAAAAAAAAAAAAAAACAGACAGGCAGCAAGCTCTCCAGAGCAAGTAGTATAAGAAAACACCCGTCCGTCCCCTCCGCTCAGGGGCCAGGCTTCTTTCTTCCTGCTATAACGCCGGGTTCTTTGCTTAGCTGCAGGCGCTGCTTCCGCTGTCTTGTGCCCTCCTCCGCATCCTATCCTATCCTCCTGTTGCTGCCAGCCAGATATACATGT